TGGCTCCTGGGTGAGGTAGGAATTCGGAAATATTAAACATGGAAGTCTTGCTGACCATACAGTCCAGGAATGTCTTTGTCTGAATCCCGCGCGAAATCCTTAGTGACTACATGGTCTGGGAAGGCCTTTGTTTAGGGCCCACGGCCACATAATAAAACAGTAATTGTAAGAATGGCAGCTAACATTTTTTGAGCACTTACTATGCACCAGCCACTATTCAAAGGCTGTTAAATATATTAACTAATTAATTTCACGAGAACCCTATAAAGTAAATATTACATGAACTCCATTTTATAGACGAGCCTCTGAGGCACAGAGGGGTAACATAATGACTACCCTGTGCCCCATTTTAATAAAGGACACTGAGTAAGGGATGGAGATTGATCAGTTCGACTTTCCTGGACGGTGATTCACTAACAAGAATAAAAACAAGTTTCCTGGCCAACACATCTTTATGCATGTCGATGTGCACTAAAGCTTTAAGAAAATACACCTGATTATACAACAATCATCACATGAAATAATTTGATTAAAAATGCCTCACGATATTCATGTTATTTAGCACCTGTTTCTTGACACTATCTATACCAGTGTCTTAATCTATTCTTGAGGAAATATAATATGGTCCGTAACAGATAATTCCATGAGTGACTGAAGCTGATATTCACTCTCTGCAGCAGAATTATTTATTTTATAATGGTATTCTGGAGTCCAAGATATGCCATCTCAGGCCACGTGATTGATTCCTCCTTACAGCAACTTCTCTCCATTACACAGGAAGAGGCTAAGGTGGACACTGCAAGCCCTGAGACATATCCAGAATTCAGGAACTTGTGTCCTCACTGCCCCATCAAGGTTTTCAAAACAACCATAGCAGAGGTCACTGCTGGGAGCAGTTTCTAGAAGCACTCATGGGCAGCTCTGAGATGAGTTTGTGGGTAACAATCAGATTGTTAAAGATTAGGGCTACTGGAAGGTCTAGGCTTTTGGAAATAGCTGCTCAAAACGTGAATTCACTCAATCAACAACATTTTTACCCTGTGCTCAAGAGATGAAAAGATAATATAAAATATTATCAGTCCCAAAGCCTGATATAAAAAGGGGTGAGGGGAAACAGAGGGCGTCACACACAACCGGCCTAGGGAGCAGTCATATCCCAGGCTTGGAAAAACTATCTAGTCTTTAAAAGCATCTGATAAAACATTAAGATCAGTCTTATACTTTAAGATAAATGGAAATTCTCCAACACATTTTTTACATTTAAGAAAATGGATTTCTGTAATTAGAAAATTGCTACGATAAGTAGAAAAATGATACCTATTTCATTTTCTCTATAAGCCAAAAACTGAAAAGAAAAAAAACCAACCTATTACAAGTTCTTACGTAGCTAGGGAGAATCGTATTATGTATAGGCATTTAACCTAAGAAAATGTTCTTGCCAAAATTAGAATCAACAATTCTCTATGGTTTCCTATGAAGAATATAGGCCAGTACTTATTAGGAAAACAAATAGCTTCCGGAATGATATATGAAAACAGTGTATCAATATCCATTATATTCCATCTAATTCTGCTTTTATTCTAGATTTTTAAGGATGAGCACAAGAATTTTTTTTTTTCTGCCACCACATTGTATGTAGCTAGATTCAGGTAATTTAGTAATTTGTACATGATCCACTAGGAGAGAGTAAAGGAGCCAACATCTCCCTCAGAACCACCTAGGTGCAGGCACTCTAGAAGATTCTCATCTCCTCTTGTAGGACTACTCTACCCTATGACTGCACCATGTATGCAATTCTCTTCCTTATAAGAATACTGTTTTCCTCAGTTATCCAGCACTTTCAGAGGGGTGATGAGAAAAAACATGGCTGCTGCTGAAAGCAGAGACCCTAATGCCAGTTTCAACTGTAGAAAAAGAATATGGGGGAGAAGGGGAGGTGCCTATTGTACAGTCAGTATTATGAAGTTGAGCTTTCACTACTTGAAGAAGGAGTTCCTGATTTCTTAAAAGGAAAAAAAGAAAAGAAAGAACAGAAAAATCCAACATTCTGACAGAGTGGGTACAAAAGAATCAGAAAACGAATAAACTACGAGTTAATTCCTATTAGTACAAGCAGCACAACGCTAGGCAATGTAAGAGAATATCAGGAATTTTTGAGTGATTAGAGGAAAGTGTGGCAGTAATGGGGTCCTTCAGCTACATTTTAGGTCATAAGCCTACTTTCTTCAGATATGTAAGGATATTTTTGATGACATGTAGATTATTCTGTTGAATTCCTTTAAACGTTTTGCTTTAGGGGAAATTGCCTGTCATGGCTTACATGAGGAAGTTAGCCTTTAGAAGACAGGCGTGTTTACCTAAGACTTGCCCGGCAACCTTGTCCCCAATGCTAAAAACCACTTAGAGCAATTCATAACTGAATTTAGCAGTAATAGTTTGAAAGTGGGCTATTAATAAGGCAAATTATACCTTGTGACAAAAAATGATAGACATGAAAAACTAAATAAACTTATTGGAATGTAAATTTTACTTAGGCTTAAATTACTTTAAAAGGGACCTAAATTCATCCTCATGGGATGGTTACTCAACTTCTAGTAAATTTTTAATTTATCTCAATAAGAATTTGAAACAATGATTTAACTATTTTTGTTCATCCCCAAGAAGAGCTAAACTCCCAGCGAGGTTCTAAATGGCTCCAAACCTGCTGCTTATTTAAGAGAAACCAAAGCTTTTTAAATATTTTAATCAAATCATCATCATTTCTGTGTAAGAGGCAACTTAGGCCCAGCCTACCTGACACCCAGGTAGTCTGAACCAACACTAGATGTCACAGAGAGACATGCCTGTGGAGACTGTAGTTTGCATTCTTATGCAGTTCAACTAGTTTCCTCTTTTCTGTTCTTCTCATAATGCAGATAAAAAAAGGGAAGCATTTTTAAGAATGCATAGCTAACCCTTCCATCCCCAACCTCCCAAATCAATAAGTGGACTAAATACAGAAGTGCCGTATGTTATACAATGGAGATGTGCCTAGAAAGTTACCCCAAAATACAAACAAAGTATTTTTAAAAGCATTAGAATTTCTTGCTAATTTGGAAGTTTTATGGATTTTCTTAGAGCAGGATACACCTGTTGAATGGCTACTTCCTTAGAGGATCATAAAAGTGCCTAATTCATAGGGTTGTTCTGAGATTAAGATAAAAAAATACATTGAAAGTGCTTGGAAGTGTTTTTGGCAAATAATAAATGCTATCTCTATTAGTGTTAGCTGATTATTATTATTATTATTATTTTCATCATCACAAGTGTATTTTTTTAGAAAAATTAGAAAATACACAAAGTATACAGAAACCAGAAAAAGCAGCTTCCCCTGTTTTATTTTAATGTATTTGTACAGATTCGTGGGTTTCATGAGTCTATACTAACTTTTGTGGGACTTCTACCATTATTTTGTTAAACAATCACTGTTACCTAAAAAGTTAAGTTGGGTTATAGGGCATAAAGATATAAATACTGTAAATCAAGAATTAAATTAAAGGTATCCATATACCGCCTGTTATTTGTAACATATCCTTTGTCCGCTATACACCATATTAAGTATGTGCCAAAAATAGAGTCTGCACAGGACACTATAGGAGCAAACTTAAGAAACATCAGGGCTACAGAGATATAACCTCAAAGTAATACATCAAATGATAATACATTGTAAGTAGAGCTAAAAGGAGTACAGAACGTGGTGATCATTATAATAGGGATGAGTGCTCAGACAAGGTCACTTCAAGGATGAAAGTCCTGCTGCTTCTAATTGACCAGAAAGTCATTTGATCTCCTTTTTGTGCTCAGGCAGACTTTCAATGAACCTAAGATACTTCGAGTTCTTATCTGATCAATGACAACAGTAAAATGCAAGGAGAAGGAGTATTTACAAACCTGTGTAAGAGATATATACCTGCCCTCACCCAAGTATACAGGAACACGCACACAAGGAGACTAGGCCACATACTCCACATTCGTCCCCAGCTAGAGGAGAATCGCGACCCGCAGAGGACTCCAGCGCTGGGTTTGGACAAACCTGTTGGAAAGGTCGAGCCTGGGCTTGCCTGAGAAGCCGCTGCTGCTGCTGCTGCTGGAGGAGCTTCATTTGTATGAGGTGCTGCTGCGACGTGATGGCATGAAGGGAAGGTGGCTGCATGATGGCACCGGAGCGCCGCTGAAGCATGTTGGACAGAGCTTGTTTGGTATTGGTGGGGACAAAGGAGCCTGTGGGGTCCAGCCTGGAGCCACCTGCAAAAGCAACCAGAAGGAAGGGCTTGCTTTCTACATGGTAATGCAACAGGTTACCCTTATTTCATCAAAACGCAGAAACCTGACCTTCTAGGCCTCACTTTATAAGCAAAATGGAAAATAAGGCACTGCTCCACCCCTATACAAATACCAGAGATCTGTTAACAATTGTATAATTTCTAAAGGACAGGGAGGATGATGGAGGAGTGAAGTGTAATATCTGAATGACTTCACGAAGGTCCCACTTGAACTGATCAAGTGAAATGCCCGAAACAGAGTCGGCGGCATAATTTCAGAATCATGTGGGTTTTTAGCTACAGAAGGCCCTCAGGAACATATTACTTGCATAAAATGTACTGCTTTTGCCAAGTGTCCTAAGCCAGGCACAAAAACACTTTTGTAATTTTAAACAAATTTGAAGATCATGCTATTTAAGCTTCTTTACCATGAAAATACCTGTTTTGTAGTAGAGAGGCATTAAAACACTTTAAAAACCTGAAATGTTTGGAAAACTTCAAAGACTTTGATTCTAAAGACAAAACACATCTTTTTTGAATGCTAGAAATAAAATAAACGAGAAATGTTGATTATGGAGATGCACTTGAAACCAAAGGAAACCTTAACATCTTTGCATACATAAATTGTCAGATGCCTTTAAGGGTTTGAAAAAAAAATTTCAACACTTGCTGCCTTCAATGTAGGTGCCAATCCTTCATTCACCAGATAGCCTATATTCTTTAATGTATGCAAACAAGAAAACTTCTATATAAATACTTCACAAATGATGTTTCCTTTTTTTAAAGCAAGTTGTAAAATGGGAACAAATATTTTAAAGCTGTTCATGCAAAAAACCCACATTCTCTTAAAGACTCAGTACCACAGTCAGAAATATGATTTATGAAGTTAATTCAGTGACATTTGAAGAACATTTGGAAAAAAAAATGGAAAGTCTATATGAGTAACATATGGCAAGGTAACTTTTGTTGAAGCAAGAATTGGAACTATACTAATACATAAAAACTTAATTGACTCATTTTACAGATAAGGGACATTCTTTTTAAAGATTAGACTATGGTCGATATTCTTTTAATCTTCCTAACTTTTCTGTAATCTTGTACCTCTGAATCAACTAAAAACATAAAATATAATAAATATGGCTGAAGCCCTCTGTATATTCCTACTTATTACTGTCTTCCACTTCTCCCATCAAATACTATTCTGAATTTGGTGTTTATTATTTCCATACAATTCCCTACAAATTTACCATAGTGGTGTGTACACATGAGAAAGAGAGAGACATCGGTAAAGGGTGTGTGTGTGTGTGTGTGTGTGTGTGTGTGTGTGTGTGTGTATGCTGTTTTGTATTTTAACTATATATAAACGGAAGCATATTGTACATACTCTTCCTCAACTTCATAGGATTTATGTTTTTATGAAAATATATTATCTCACACATATAAAATCCCCATAAATAACTATTTTCTTCACATTTTTTTTCTCACATGTCATCATACCTAAGACTTACCTAACACCCAAGTTCTTCAACTTACAAATACCTTTTAGTTCCTCAAAGTACAAATACATTCTAGAGGGAGAGAGTATGTGCCTTTGTAAAATACTTAGCCTTCAATTCACAGACAGTCCTTGGGTTTCACTTCAATATCTACAAAGTTTAAAATGCTAAAACGTTCACATGGACCTTGGAATTAAAAAGACAAAGTCAAAAAGAGAGGATTGTCATGTATGATTTTCCACATTTATCATTAAGTCTAATTGGCTCTTTGTAGTCTACATTTATTCATTTAACAGTCTATTTTTAAGAGCCTGCAAAAGCCAGCTGCTTTTGTAAGTTCTAGGACTACTGTAGTGAACAGAACAAAAAAAACAAACAACAACAAAAAAAAAAACACCTGCCCTCACAGAGCTTACATTCAGAGGCAGGCAGCTAAGTAGATAAACAGTACATAAAAGCAAGTGCTAATGCTGTGGAGAACCAGAAAGAAGGGAGGGTCACACAGTGTAGGGAGGGGTGTGGCTTACAATTTACAGTAGGGTAGTCAGAGCAAGCCTCGCTGAGAAGGTGGTATGTGAGCAAACTCAAAGGAGGCGGGCAGTGAGCCACACGGACGTCTGTGGGCAAGCATTCCAGGCCCTAGGTCCAGCAAGTGCCAAGCCCTGAGGTGGGAATCTATGCAGGTCGTTTACTGAATATGTCTGCCCTGTCAGGCATCTTCTAGTGCTACATTGTTTTAAATTTACTTTAAATTATACACATACACACACTCACACATATGTGTAACATAGACCTTATTTCCTCCTCCAAAAAAGAACAGGCGTTTTATCCATTTTGTTTACTAACACCTAAAACAGGGTCTGGCACGTCGTGAAACTCAGTACATTTTGTTGAGTGAATATTTGAGTCACCTACCCTATGGTGATATATATCAGCATATACATTTTATAGGTGATCAGGCTGAGGAACAGAGAAATTAAGACCTGGCCGAGAATGGTAGAATGGTAGAGCCACACCTGAACCTGAACTCTAACTCCCAAACCAGCTCGCTAAGCCTCTCATTTACAGGACAAAATATGGACTCTCCCCTGCTCTAAGCCAAGAATCAAATATTTTCCTCCCTAGGCTTCAAAATGTCATACTCAACTTACAACGAGAGAAAAAAAATTACACTACCACAGAATACAATAAGATAAATATTATATATTATAAGGGTACATCATAACAAAATGCAGAATGAGATTTCAAAGTAATCTATTTTGCTAAAATAGGCAAACTTTCTTTTAGAAAGAAAATTAGACCCTTTTCTAATTAAAAGACTTTTTTTTTCTTTTAATTTAGAAAATGTTTATTTCAGAAATAAAATCTCCCTGAGCTTGAATCAAAGCAATACTAAAATCAGGAACATTTACTCTGGATATGGAAGTTTGCCTTGTTGATACCTAAATCTACTTGCTGAACCAAATTTCTGAAATTCTTCATGATATAAATTTAAAATTCATAACCTAAGGAAATAATAAAACACACTGTGCAAGATTGCCTAATCTTTTAAAACGCTGGTTAAGAACTGCATTTGATAAAAATATTGGCACAAATTTCACAACGTCAAACTTTGATCAACTTCATATCTTCCAGCTCAGATTTTCATCTGCGGCTAATTTCTTCCCAGCACTGGATGAAAATTCCAAAGTCAGCACATAAATGCCTAACAGAAACCTTATTTTAGAAGAAGAAAAAACATGCTGAATGGAGGGAATTACAGAAATGTCAGCTGAGTGGTTAGTTCTTGGAACTTGCACATTCTGTGGAGGTTTCAGATTAAAAGTAAGGGGAATCCCAAGCAAAGAGAAACCGAAGCCACTTCTCGCCTTGGAGTGACACGACTGTGCTCTCTTCACATACCTGGAGTAAGAGATTGGTTCTGAAGGAAGAAGCCAGGCTGCTGGGGCTGACCCATGAGGTTGTAGCCCCACAAGGTGGACTGCGGATGATGCATCATCTGGGAGGAAATGGGTGAGTAATTAGGAGGCACTCGGTATATGCTGCTCTGTGGATACTCCTTCAACATAAAGTTAAAACAAACAAAAAAACACGTTACTTAACTGCACACATCACATAGGTAATTAATGCAAATTCTTCCTATCGTGTTATTTAAGATAGTCCCTATCCCAGCAGATGAGGCTATTTTTATAAAGGGGAAGATGGAAAGCAAGAGTCTCAATACATTCTCTGCAAAACACTCATTTAAGTTAGAACTTTTCCTTGGCTTAAAAAGTACTTGGCTACAGTGAGGGGAGATGGAAAAAAAATCATTTCTGAACCCTGTTCTCCAAATACTAAAAGCACATTAAAAATACCAGTATTGGCCACCACCCGCAGCTGAAAGAGCATATCCAGTTGCCAAGTCTCCCAATCATTTCATCTTACAAGGCCTTCCTGATACCTTGGGTCTAGATGAGATTCATACCAGAAAGGCCCATAATACTTCAAACCAGTCCCCCGACTAGACAATATCTTATTTCAAGACAATTTTCAAGACATACTCTGTAGAAGTAGACTCCACCCTTACCCTGCAAACACCCATCCTGTCCCAAACTGTCCCATCCTCCCCACCCCCCACATCTCCTTACAGCAGCTGCAAAATCTCTTAAGGGTCACAACTGAAATATCTCAACTCCCCCACCATCCCTCCTTCTCTGGTCTAGTCCTAAGAGATAAAGGAAAAATAAAATCTCATAAAAATAAAACCTGCACTACATCCCACTGGAAAGAGGCAGCCTCAGGAATAGTATGGGAGGAGAAGACATGGCCAGGACTCACTGGGGAATGAGAAGCGTGCTAAGTCTTTCGCATCTGAAAAGAACAGAAATCTGTCCATTCAGATAGACTGGTTAGGAGCTCAGATTTCGGGGAGTGGCAGTCTGGACCTTATGTAAGCACCTCTTTCAAGACAAAGGAATATTGGTAGAAGACTATATGAGAAGACGACAGTGACATTCAAATGACATCCAAAGGTGGCAGCAGTCATTTCTGGAATAATATCAATCACCAAGCTATCAGCAGGAAAAGGATATGTTTTGGTTTTGACATTAGTGAACAAAACATAATAATAATTAGTCATGATGTCTGAACACTAAATTGTGAATTTTTTTTTTTCACTGCACAAGATAATCCTTGAATTTCGTAGAAAAACGTCTCAAATTCTCTCTCAAGTGTTTTCCAGGTGAAGTTAATGGACAGGTATTTTACACAGTAATTCTGTAAGTTCTATAAAATTATGTCTAAATTACCGTCCCATGGATTTCTGTTGTTTTCAAGAAAATGTTGCTATAAGTAGGGGAGGCTAATAGGCAAACAAGAAGTGAAACTATTTTAAATTATGTTTACTTTATCTTTTATAAAGTCTGAAAATATGGTAAAGAAATAGGATGTAAAAGAGAGTAAGATGGAATGGTAAAATACAGACACATCCTATTTGATATATTAGATGAAGCTTTATCGAGGGAGAAACAAATAGTGTTTTTATGTTTACTTACTATACAAAATACATCAAATATTTTAGGCATGGCTTATAATAAAAATATGTAAAAAAATGAGATTTAAGTGGTCTGAAAAATTCACATTTCAAATTTGAGAAATTATGAAACCCTGAAATATTAAATAAATATTATTCACAATGGAAGTCTAAAATCAAACAATTATGAAAAGTATAGAAGGAAAAATTAAAAGGTATAAATAACCCCGTTGTCTGTGACAAGTCACTGTGTCATTCTGTTAATTATGACAGGGCCTCGTTAGGGTAACTGTTACAAAAAGGCTTCTACTGCTTTCAGCAATATTTGTAGGGATATAATTTGGACACTGGTAAATCTTCTATAAGGTGCTAACGAGCCACAGATCTCTCTACTTGCCGTACTCACATCAACTCTTGAGTTTGATTTTGTCTTGCGCTTCCTCCCCTTTGTTTTCTTCTCTTCATCTGTTGTGTTTTTTCCCTGATCTGGCAGCTCAGCTGATTTCCTCTCTGGCTCCTGAGAGACGGGAGATGTGGGCTCTTCCTCTTCCTCCTCGGGAGGTAGGGGCAGGGGTTCGAGGTAGTAACTTCGGGGCTTGGGCGTAGGGTGTGTGTGATACAAAAGGAGGTGATGCTGCTCCTCATACTTGATCACCTTCCGGTCCATTCGGACAGTCCCGAACCAGGCCCAGGACAGAGGAGCTGGGTTCTTCTGACCCTCAAACAAATCCCATGGGGACACCTTCTGCTTTGTGGAGACCTGGAGGCCCTATGGTGAAATAACACTTTATGACCAGCTGTTCAGATCTTTTCCTGATTAGAGGCCGGGCTTGCTTAGGACATGGATTCAGAGAACATTTGGGCTGGTGTGGGCCTTAGCGAGAACCTTGGCACACAGCAGACAGGCTAACTAGTCAGGGGGTTATACAATTAGTCCACTGGGGAGCAGCAGATAGATCCACACCTTAAAGCTCCCTTCTATGGTTCTTTATGCCACACGAGGCAATGTTCAAGCTGTAACACCAGGTAGCCCAGTATATTTTACTTTAAAATGGCACTTTTTTCATTTAGTTTTTTCTTTTAGGCAAAAAATTTTCTAAGAAAGACTGCAAAGTTGATCTTACTGTACTAAATTACAATCAGTTTTAAACCTTCAGATTCTATTTACTGTTTTTCAGATGAAACAAAACTTAACAGCCAAGTTACATTCAGCCTCTAATTGGGCTCATATTAACCTTTATCCAAACAAGAATGGACTTGATTCAATACGGGCACCTTTCATGTACTTATTAAGCCAGTCTCTGAATAATTCAAAATTAACTTGTACCAACAGGTACAAATGAAGTCCTTCAATTCAAACTTAAGTCTACTGAGTTTAGAAGAGAAAATGTTATTGTTTCTGAAAATAAGAGTTTCTTATTTTTAATTGGTGATGTCTCTTGGTACTTTCCTTGGCATATCAATTTGAAAATAACTTTTCTTCAAAATGACCCTGAAAATAACTACTCAGGCATTCTGTAAGATATGGGTTCTCCTGTTCTTATCCACACATACTCTTCCAAAGGTGGCTTTGGCCAAATTGAGGCTCAATTACCATCTATATATTGACTGCTTCCTAATATCTGTCTTGAGGTTAGGTCTCTTTCCTGGGTGCCAAGGCCACATATCCAAATGGCTTCTAAATGTCTCACCACTAGAGAGCCCGCCAGCGCTTGTAAACTCAGCTTGCCCATGATTCTAGTTTTTTCTCTCTCCACACACACACTGGTACATACAAATACTCAAGGTACTCTGAATTACTGGAGCATTGCATTTCTCCTATCAGCCACATTTTTTCATACCTTTGCATAAACTCTTCCCTTTGCATGTACCACACTTTTCCCTATCTCCCAGGTAACTCTTAATCCTTCAAAACGATTTACATGTCGATTTTCCTGGGGATCCTGCTCTACCCACTTCCGGCCATCTGAGTATAACGGCTCCTTCTCAGGGTCCTCTTACATTCTATAATATGACACACAAATCTCACCACACTTAACTGTCTACCTACTTCTACTTGAAGGTAGGAGCTCTGTCTTTCATCTCTGTGATTTTGTAAATCATGTTTATTGAAAGAATAATGGACTGCTCTTCCTATATTATAGAAAACCTTGTTTAATATCTTACATGAATCAAGAGTTCATCTGATATTATTTAATTGATAAGATAATAAAGTGCATCACTTTAAACATTTTCCACTCAAAATAGTTAATGACATTAGGACATTTTCAGTAAAAATTTTCTTATCTAAACATATTTTGTTGCCAATTCTGAAGTAAAATCAGGCCTGGTCTTTGCTAATTATTATTATTATTTTTTTACACTAAGCTTTTTGCTTAGCTTCTGTTGGTGGGCCTCAGAAATTCAAGTACAGTTTAAAATGAAGATCTTCAAAGATTTGATTTATTTATATAATGCAATGGCCACTGCACTTAAATGATATGAATATAGTTTTAAAAATTAGGAAACTGTAAAATTAAGATGTTTTATATGCTTTATAGGAAGATAAGAAAACATATCTTGTTTCTGTAAGTTTATGTATTTATATATATAAGAAACAAACATTTACTCTTGCCTGTTTTTTATCTATAGAGTCGAATCCAGCAATTTTGTTTCCCTTTGTGTCAATCAAGGAACCCATAGGTTCACAAGTGATGACATCACATGTCTGTTTTGGCAAAGGTAGTAACTGGCGAACTTTGTCAATACTTTCTGACCGCTTGTCTCCTAGCTCCTTCTAAAAAAAAAAATGAAGAAAAGAGAAGTGGAACAGAAATTACAATGAAGGCAAAAGTTGCTCAAGTTACTCAGAGGGAAGTTTCCTTATGAAATATATGCATTTTTATTGATGGGATGTTCTTTAACCTTGAACATGGTCTATGGTGCAGCTCTCAAATAGAGTGGTGAGTATGTTTCATTTCTTCATTTTGGGTAGAAAATAGAACACATACAAAGGCAGCCTTGTTACACAACAAACATTACAGTGCTGAGATGACAAAAATCCAGGGCAGTAATTGTAATCAGAGAGCAGGAGCTGCAGCATGAACACGTTCTCGAATCCAGGGTCAGACGATAAGGTAACCACTGGTTATTTTATTGTAAGCTCATCAGATATGTTTTTTTTGTTTTTTTTCTATGCTGTTTATTTACAGTTTATTTCAAAGATTGTGTTAGTGGTTAGTCAAATGAATTGGATTTAGAAATAGCAATGCAAGTAATTATTTTTCAGCTGTATGTGCCAGTCCAAGCATAGATTTATCCTAAATCTAATGCTGGCATTTTGTTTAGATATTTGATAATTAATTTCTGAAGTTCCTTAAAAAATTAAAATGCTTTACAAATATAAATTTGTTTGAAAGAAAAATCTTCAAGCTATATGCTTATACTTTGGGGAACTGGTAAGCTAAGGTAAAGCAAATAGCAAAATAATCACATTACATTAACTTGAATGCAATAAATAACATTTAATTTAATGAGTAATAAATTAAGGTAGAATGTACTAAATAACAAATCTATAAATAATGTAAGTTCATTTAAGTGTATAAGCAGGTCACAAACTTACTTTCAGTTTCTTTACTAAATTCATGTACGCGCGTTTGTTCTCTTCAGATCCCCCTGGAGATGCGTTTGATAGGTCAGAGGCTAATGTTCCATTGATTAAAACACCCAGCATGTCAAGAACTGTTGTGAATAATTCACTAAGAGGGGACAGAAAACAATTATTTTTACCTTAAAACAAAAGCAAGACATTCTGAACTTGCTGAGCATTGTTATTTAAGGTACCTAAGAAAATAAGATGCGGCAGAATTTGTGGTCAGTGTATCAAGCTTCTGCCATGCATGCATGCAGAAAACGAAAGGTGAAATGGTAAGAACATACTTGTTAGTGTGCATGTCAACGGTCCCGGAAGTAATGATCTGAAGGAGGAGGAGGGCCCAGTCTGTTGTCCACTGGGTGCTCCGCTGCACCGTGTCAAACATTCCTCCCACCTAGCATGGAAAAAAACACAACCAAAAATCCACATCATGTTAAAGAGAAAATGCCACGCCCATCATTTCATGTAGGCAAGTTTTGATTAGTTTAAAAAATGCTTTAAAAAAAGGGGGGGCTACTCAAATGTGGGCACATTGTCAATATGAATTATAGTTGACAGTTGACCCTTGAAAAGGCTGGGGGTGGGGGTTAGGGGCAATGACCTTCTTCTTAGTCAGAAATCTGCATACACCTACTTCTTTTTTTTTTTTTAAATTGGGGAACTGGGGAAGGGGAACAGTGTTGGGAAACTGGGGAGGGGGACCAGCCAAGTTGTTGTTCTTCAACCTTAGTCGTGGAGGGTGCCAGCCGCCATCTGGCTGCCCGTCAGCAACTAGTGGTCTCTAAGCTCAAGGTGCTGTGTTACAATCTTAGTTGTGGGTGGGCGTAGCCACCATCCCCTGCGGGAGTAGAACAAGCAGCCTGTTGTTAAGAGCACATGCTCTATCCACTGAATCATCCGGGCGGCAGCTCAGCTCAAGGTGCCGAGTTCAGTCTTAGTTGTGGGCATAGCCCACCATCGAACAGGCAGTCTTCTTGTTAGGAGCACATGCTCTCACCAGCTGAGCCATCCTGCCACCTGTTGGCAGCTCAGCTTGGGCACAGTGTCACTGGCCCATGTGGGAATCAAACTGGCAGCCCTGTTGCTCAGAGCTCGCGCTCTTAAGCTAACTCTTAACCAACTGAGCCACTCGGCCGGCCCAGCATATATCTACTTCTATGTACCAGTCTAATTAAATTTCTGTTGCTCCTAAACTTTCATGATACCCAGTTTTATGATGTAATTTTAGTTGAATTAAATCCGAATAGGTCAAAGCCATGTAAACTGTTTATCTGCCACTTTATGTTGTCAAGTACTATTGACTCTAAGCTTGTTGTCATTCTAACACTTGGATATATCCGGTAACACAGAAATAATGATAAGCAGGAAGCTGGGCCCCAGGCCTACTCATCCATGTGTGGGAATTAAGTTGAAAACAACTGCCAAATACCAGGCCACCCATTGGAGTAGCCTTCATCTGGGCCTGTCCAGTGGGGGAAAAAAATTAAAAGGAAAATTGAATGTGTGAGGAATTTTACAGGTCTGTAAAACCCCCATGTGGGATTTGTTTTTATAATCAATTTGATTCAAAGTTTGAAAAAATTGACTTAAATGCCATTTTAATATGGTTTTAAATAAATACAGTAAAAGCTAACACTCATCTCAAAATAAGTCCTCCTAGACCTACTCTTAGCCCACAGCAAAAAGGAGTGATTCCCGGGAGGAGTGGGGGGGAGTGGGCGAGGGGAGTTGCAGAAGGCAAATCAATGCCTAAAATATCTTCTGCTCTTCTGCTGTCTAGAAGTTGTTTAGACCAGACAGGAAGGATGGCAGCCAGAAACACAGATGGTTAGAGATAGGGAAGTAGCTGCAGAGAGCAAACATCAGGAAGCCTCACCTTATAATGAAGACCGTGACCACTGTAGAAGTGGAAAGCTGGAGTTATTTTCACATTTAGATAAGTTTAACAGCGAGAAAATACTAGAGATGTCTCTTACCAAATTTAGGCGGAGCTGCAATGCTTCGTGCATCATCTGCCGTGCTTTTACATCATCTTGGTATCGTTCTTCTCTCCAGTTACTTAAGATCTAAATGGGAAAACAAATGGGAAAAAAAAAATCTTTTCCATGTTAAAATGGAATTTTTTCATATTTAAAGTTAAATTGAGCTTTTTCCTGACAGTCAAAAACAACTTCTTAATTTAGCAAATTAATAAACAAAGCTTTCCTCCCCCGCCACCATGCAGACAGAAAGCTGGCTGTTTCTTTGTTCATAGCCTTTGTAAGTAGGAGAAGAAAAATCTTACCTAATCACTTATCCTATGACTAAGTCTTAGAAAATGCTTTAGAGGACCATCAAGTTTAACATTAACAAAAATAATTATTTTAAAAAAGACAGTTGACTCTTGAACAACATGGGTTTGAACTGTGCAAGTCCACTAATACACAGAGTTTTTCAACAAATATATAGTTGGCCCTCTGTAAACCTGAGTTTTGCATCTATGGATTCAAGCAACTGCAGATCAAAACTGGTATTCTCAATTGATCCGAGCTTGAAAATTCGTGGATTGCAGAGAGAGGACTTTAATGCATTGTTCTAGCTATTTTATATGAGAGGCTTGAGCATTTGCTGATTTTAAGTTTCTGAGGAGGGCCATGGAATCAATCACCCATGGCTACCAAGAGACAAATGAAGTTTTGGGAAGTCAAAAGTTATATGTGGAATTTCGATTGTGCAGGGCTTGGCGTCCCTAAACCCCATGTTGTTCAATGGTTTAGTCTTATAAAAAGATAAGTAGTGGACAGACAGAATTATATATATATTTTTTAAATTGGGGAATTGGGGGAGGGGAACAGTGTTGGGGAATTGGGGAAGGGGGACAGCCAAGTTATTGACCCTCAAGTCTTAGCTGTGGAGGGCGAAGCTAGCTCAGTTCCAACTCCAGTTGCCATCCGGCTGCCCATTGACAGCTGGCGGCCGCTCAGCTTAAGGTGCTGTGTTCAATCTTAGTTGCAGGTGGGCGTAGCCACCATCCCATGCGGGAGTTGAACTGGCAGCCTTGTTGTTAAGAGCATGCACTCTATCCCCTGAGCCATCTGGGCGGCAGCTCAGCTCAAGGTGCCAAGTTCAGTCTTTAGTTGCGGATGGGCACAGCCTACCAGTCGAACCGGCAACCTTGTTGTTAGGTGCACACGCTCTCACCGGCTGAGCCATCCTGCCACCTATTGGCAGCTCAGCGGCAGCTCAGCCCGGGTGCAGCTCACTGGCCCATGTGGGAATCGAACCGGTGACCCTGTTGCTCAGAGCTCGCACTTTTGAGCAAGCTCTTAACCAACTGAGCCACTTGGCCGGCCCCCAGAATTACATTGTATATCAGGCCTGCATTATATGCTTCTAGGGACATGCTGTGAACCCTAGCAAATGTGTAATTTTGGTGTTCTATTGAGGTGGTAGCTTGCTATTTTATAAACTTATCTTCCTTGATGAAGATAATGTATATTATTTTGAAAAATATGACATCTTGGACATCAGTCAAGAGGCACATCAATTTATGAAGTGAGTGCTTCCTCACTGATTCAGACTAATGTGGGGAAAGAGAAGATTTTTTTAGGAAAGGCAAACCACAAATGGGTAACACCCCAGAATCAGATGACATGTGCACAAAAAATAAAACCAACAACAAAAAAACCCCCTACACTGCCATCCTCTGAAGTATGGTGGTTAACTAATGAGAATCCTCTTAAACGAGTTGAAATGAGTCACATGCAGAAGTAACCCAGCCCCAACAGATAACCTGTAAGTATATTGAGTGGTAAGAGCAGGGCATTTCCCACATCTCATCAAAATATGTGGACCTCTCTCAAGGCTGACTTAAGGGTACAAGGCAGATAACAAAACACACAAGCTGTCACGGAGCTTACATTCAAATAGCAGGACAAATAATAGTAAGTGTAACAAGTGGTAGGAACCAGGGTAAGGGAATAGAAAATGGCCATTGTTCTATTTTTAGAGAGTGATCAGGGAGGCCCTCCCTGAGAAGGTGACATCTCAGCAGAGACCTGATAAAGTGAGGAAGACAGCCATGCTAATATCCAGGAAGAAGGCCTTTCAGATGAAGGAAAGAAAAGATTCAAAGGCACTGCAGTGAGAATTTGCTTGGCAAGTTCCATGAACAGCTACATGGCCACTGTGAAGAGTGGAGCAAGCCAGGCCATGCCTGGTGGGCAACAGGGTAGAAGAGGCAGCCAGTGCCAAATCACGTAGGGCCTTGGAGGCCCAGACCCTGAATTCTAGGACCAATAAGAATCACTGTAGCATTTTGGGCATTGGAGAAACATGGGATTTACATTCAAAAAGGAGCATTCTGGTTGCTGAGTAGAGAACAGATTTCTCATATCCAAAAGGTGGGAGATGACGACAGGGCCAAATAAGTTAAGGGTCCTTATTCATGTCCATCCAGGACCAGTCCAGGGAGAGACATGGTGTCATAGAGCCACAGCAGCACAGGAGGGCTCCATTAGGCTCTGCAGCAGGATAAACATCTCACAGGGCCAATCTACCCACTCTGTTCGATCCCACAAGCTCCAGTTTCTAATGTGGTCACTCAGTTTCCTTGTGGTACAGAGAACCAGTGCCAGGGGAACTGTGGTTGGGAGAAAGGCAAGGTTCGAATTCTTTGTAAATGAACCCAAATGCCTTCTGATTTATAAATGAGTATCTTGTGCCCTTGACTGGCATCAGTCTGGCTCTGGCAGTAAAATAGAGTTTCTGAACAGAGAGACCCTGGCTGATATGTGGAAGCAGGCTGAGGACCTGGATACAGCTTCCTCTGTCTTACTGCCATGCCTGCTGTGACACAGATGGCGCCAGCACCTCTCCCGCGAGGCAGGGTCAGGAGAAGAGCAGAGATGTCAAAGTTACATGTAATATGCAAAATGTTACTTTTATCATCTATAGACATGTATCCAATGTGTGATTTGGGCCAGCTGAGTGGCTCAGTTGGTTAAGAGCTTGCTCAAGAGTTTGAGCTCTGAGCAATAGTGGTTCAATTCCTGGCCCAAGCTGAGCAGCTGCTGAGCTGCCAACAGGTGGCAGGATGGCTCAGCTTAAAAAAAAAATTTTTTTTAAACTGCTAATCTTTTGGTGACTAGAATGCCAGGTAGCAGGACAGGGCATGGATTGTGCCTCCTTGCAACAAAACATGTTGTGCCCTTATTAGTTTAATCTCAGTACCTGAAAGGAAAATGAACTAATGCCGTTAGAAAAATACTTGCCTGGCTTAATACTCTACAATACTTTACCTGATTAACTTGATTCTGGAGAGATGTTAGGAGGCCTTCTCGTTGTTCGTCTTGTCCCTTAAGGCAGGTAAGGACCAGTGAGAGGAATGGCTGCTGACTCAGAAGAGACATACTAAAAAGGAAATTATAACAGCAGATCTAGTTAGAAAGAGTGCATTACTTCCTGTGCAACATTGATTTCTTGCCTGTGGGCTATTGGCTCTTATTTATTTTACTATTAGAAAATGGACAGGAGGAGTAAATAGCCAAAGACTACTTGAAAAGTTAAATCATACCTCTACTAATAAGATTAAAAGCCACTGTAATGCTTCTAAATAATTTAATATTCCCTCTTTCCCTTGAAGGCTTTTCCCAAACTACGATAAATTCATAGTGCAAATGAGTGTGTAGGGGGAGTGCCGGAAGAGGAGGATTTGTCGTTTCCATCAGTTAGCGCATTTAAACACACACATCAGAAGGAATATCGCTGCATATGCAGAATAAAATAATAAAAAATTTCTCTCACAAAAAACTTATTTTGGAGTGCAGGAAATAGGCCTATACAATTGTCATGCTTGTTTTATTTTTCAGCTCTTTCCTCAAGCTCAAAGTGTGGGGTATGTATTGGTAGAGCTAAGATTAGCACATAGGTCTGAGGACAGTGTGACCTCTAGTGACCTGCAGGGCACCGTTCCGCCACATCCCATAGCCTCCACTGGTAAAGGGATTTCAAGACATCTGGGAGAAATTCCATTTTAAATTGGCATTTTATTAAGATTTTTTCAATTATTAGAGAACAACTAACAAATCATATTGATAGACTAATTGCTACACTGGAAAGAAAATTTTCTTAAAATGGGATTGAGGCCCAAATATTTCAATCTGCTTCATTTTACACCAGCAGAACTGAGACACTGACTTTGGAAGAGCCATACAAAGGTATTACCACCTGTACTCTCTGTGGCAAGTGAGGCAATGTTCATACAGTCACACATTAGCAGATAAACTTTGAGAATTAAATGGAGTCATCTGGTTGGCAAAGATGTAGAAAAATTTAGGTCACAAACAATAAATGCAAAGCAAGGTCTCTACCAAAATGTGCTTTTAGTTAAGAGCACAGGCTCAGCAGCCAGACCACCAGGGTGGAAACTCCAGCTTTATAATTCCTTAGCTGTGTGTCCCTAAGAAATTTACCTAACCTTTCAGTGCATCAGTTTCTTTTTCTGTAAAAAGGGTATAATGAGAGCAATGACCACATATGATTGCTGAGAGATTTTAAAAGTTCAAATATGTATAAAACAAATTCTACAAAGGGGTTGGCATTTTGAAAGAGCTCAATAAATGGCAGCCACTAAAATATTATTAATTAGGGGATAAGAAATCTGTATGTTCAGAATTTTTTAAAAATAAAAAAATTATCATTATTTCCCTTCACTCTTGAGGTGTTAAATTCATCACATTTTCACATTCAAGTGTAGTTTTGATCTTTCTCAGTAACAGAGACAGTTTTCAAATGTAATTATTTGTTATCTTTTCTAGGGCATAAAGTAAATTAAGAAAACATTAAACCTGGTGGTTTATAAGTTTTACTATCTAGTCTAGGACAAGAGCCTTAAATGCTAAAAATATTAGAAACTATTTCAGGGTCCAACAATACAGAATTATAAATAATTCTACATACTTTAAATATAAATACTTAAGTAATAAAAAAATGAAAAGTAATTAAAAGTAGAATACAGGGACCAAATGGATATCCAGATCTGCTTTAGTATGTTGAGGTAGGGCCGAAAATCAGTATTTTTAACAGTTCAACAGTGATATGGGTATACAGGAAGAATTGAGAATGGGTATAGTAAACATTATAACCTGGAACTTTTTAGTTCCAGGCAAAATGTTTTCAATTCCACTTAAGAATAAAATTTCAGTGGACTTGGGGATACAGTGACCATGTATGTTTGCAGAATGTTAGATTTTTCTCAATTGTTCTTGAGAATATTATGTAAAGAGACAGATCTTCCAGCCATACCTTTTCTGTTTTTGTCTGTCTCTTTCCTTTTTTGAAGAAGAACCCAAGTGCTGTCCCTTCTCTAGTTCCTCCCCGGCAGCTTTCAGTACTCTTCCTTGCACAGAAGTTGGCAGCCTGGCAATTAGGGGGGCTACCAGCCAGACACCCCTGCGTTCAGAGGAACTAAAATCAGAAACAGGTGTTACACCCCCAGAGACATCCTTTTCTCTGCTCCCACAATCATAACAGAAACTCTACTGTAAAACTTTTACGCACAAGACATATGATTACCCTAAAATTTCCCTTTTATTTCTATATTATCTTTCCTCTTGCCAAATACTGGATATGTGCACACATTTTCCACTCTCGCTTACAGAAGGCAATAAAAGATGGGGGGTTCTGGGAGGATACTGTAACTAAACTTTAAAAAACAAATCTATTCAAGTGCTTTTCAAGGATTCTGGCTCTCTGATTAGTACCAGTCGTTTTGTCCAACAAGCAATACATATTTCTGTCATGGCTAAGATATGAAATGTTCTGATTATGTTTAAGCATACTAATAATACATTTCTACAGTTTTAGAATTCATTAGCTATACTTTACACCAAAATGATGAAATACAAGTTAATCTGCCTTTCATGATTATCATTTGTGCAAAACTGCCAATTAATAAGGCAGAAACAAGTGTTTCCTACATAATCAATATCACAGAACAGAGTAGCCTCAGGGGACAATAAAGAAATTAAACCATCCTGAATGTCATCTGTAGTTCCAATGAGTATGGGCCTGATTAACTTAATATTTAGAACACTAAGAGATCATCCACCTTATTAAATAATTATAACTGACACAAGTAATTATTTTCTTTACATTCCTGCAGCTTTATTAAAAAAATAACTGCATTATGCAAATACAATGCCCTGTTACATGTGAAAAGTTAATGATAGCCTAAGAAAACTACAGAAAAAATACCTTAGAAATGTCTTTATTCCATTCTGTCTCGTGCTACTAGTATCAGTACTTCCGATCCCACTTGGGTTGAAGAGGCCCACACTGGAATTGGAAGAGTTGTTGTTCAAGTCCGCAGACTGCTGGAATACCTCTATGGTTGCCTTTGCAATGTTGTCCAGTAGGTTGTTCATCTCAGCCACCGAGCCAGAGCCCTAGAATCAGACAGGAAAACTAGCATACATGTTTTACTTTATCCTCACACATCAACCCGGTTTTGCATTTCATGAGTTTATACCTATACATGCTTTCCATATATACTCACAGGGTCCTTCAGGCACTGTTTAATCATTAACTGAAGTTCTAGCCAGGACTGCCTCAGCGTCCACTGCTCAAGATTCTGGGGAAGATAGAAAGAATTAAGACATTAGGAGCATTAAACACGTTTTAAAATATCATGATTCCTTGCAGGATTCCCTACCTCAAGGAAGAGTAGAATAATCATATACAATAAAGGGACCTGCAGGAATTCCCCCGCTTTTCGAAACTTCACGTTCCGCCACTTCATTTTTACAAAAGACCTACCTTAGTACCTGTTTTCGCTAACTGAAAGAAATCCAAAGAGGATTTTCAGTTTCACAAAAAAAGGCAAAAAGTGAAAACAGCATTCAGCGTTTGCTGTGCAGTGAGCTATCACAGAGGCAGTGAGCACCCCAAGGAACCGAGTGGCACAGCCAGGCTCCTTCCCGGGGAGCCACATTCAGCATCTCAGCATCAAACCCATCACAGCTTTGAACCGTGTCTGTGAGCATCTGTGCTTTATTTGGTTTATTTTGTACATTCGTTAGCAAGATGTGTCCTAAGTAATCAGAAAAGCCTGAGAGAGTTTGTAAGAGTGCTACTACACTTAACTAGAAGCAATTAAGCATTTAGGTTGTGAATGATAAGACATAGTGCATACTTTAAATTTTGGCTTTGGGAATGCTAAAAATTTTGGCATATAAATTAATGGTAAATGTCTCTTCACTTAAAAGGTTTGGCTTACAAAAGGTGTCATAGGAACACTCTTCTTTTGGATACTGGAGGAAACTTGCATATGGATCAAAAGGCTTCTAAGTCTTTACACATATTCATCGTAGAGACAAACATATAAATAGCAGCATTAAAAAAATGTGACTCACTCCGTGGGCACTGGAAATGAATTAGACAAGCATTTCTTATGTCAAAATCTATTTATGTATCCAAAATGATTTCAATATTTTCTGAATAAGATATTTATGACAGACCCCCTACAAAGCTTATTTTTCATATAAATACGGTACTGGCTTAAAACATCAATATTTCTGCAATGACTATATACAATGCGCAGTACCGGCATCTACCCAGCAATAAAGTGTGGCAATAACACAGAAAATCACAAAGTATATGTCACATGACAAAAACACAGTCTTTCAACTATTGTCACTCACCTGAAGAATGCGTTTAATGTGCTGTCTCTGCAGGTTGTCGCCCTCGGTACACTCTTTAATGCCATGAGGGTAACAGATAAGCTGCAATAACTTCTGCGCTTGCATATTAGAAAGCACAGGGTCCAATATAAGTTCTTTGTCTGTGCATAATCTTTCAGGCTCTTTTAAGCAATGTTCTCCTACCCATTCCTAAAAATAATACAGCAGTTAGACTGACAGGTCTGGACTTTCTAGATTCATATGTAATATGTACTAAGTTCATGACACACAATGGAAGAGAAAGAAAGCAGACGGAAATCTTCCAATTAATAAAACAGTACACAAAAAAAGTAGGGGGCAAAAATTTGAAAAACAAAAGTTCTAGTACTTTAACTTGTTAAAAATATGAAATGAAACCTTGCTTAAAAAAATTTTTTTTTAAAAATAGGCAAAACAAGTAAAGAAAGCTAAGGAAAGTAAAGAAAATATTGGTATGTGTTTTCAATCGGAAAATGAGTCCTTGTTCTAGGAACTGTTTTGTAATCAGTTTTTTAACTTGCTAACATAAGGGCAATGATTCTATATTATAATATATCTTCATCATTTTTAGGTAATGCATTGTATTATGTTCTATTCAACAGAACATAGTACAACACTCAGAAAATTATCTTCCTTTTTGATATTACTATAAATAATGTTACTATTATAAACAAATATTTGTACACATCTAGTCTCTGTACAATGATTTTCTTAGGGTAATCTCATAGAAGTGCAATTGCTGGGTCAAGGACTACAAAAAATTTAGGGCTATTGATACATATGGATGGCTATTTGACCTCTGGAGAGTTTCTACCAATTTAAATCCCTATCACCTTTTCTTCATCATTTTTTCAAAGGAAGACTCTTATACTAAATGAGGTAAGAAATTATCAACTGTGCCAGAGCCTCATTTGAACCCAGGTCTGTTTCAAATGAAACCTGTTTCTTAACCACTGCACAGGTGACTCAATGCTGGTTGCCCATTAAAATCACCCAGGAAGCTTGTTAGAATCCTAAAGCCCAGGACACATATCAGATCAATTAAGTCAATCTTAGGCAGCGGGATCCAGATATCAGTCATTTTTTTAAGGCATCAAAAATTTTTTTAACTTCCCAGGTGATTCCAATGTGTACTCACAATTGGGAATCAAAGCACAATATCCTCTTACTATTTAGCTAACTTTAGCCATGGTTATCAGATTCCTTAATAAAAAATTAAAAAAAAGACCCTGTCAACATTATGTCTATAGGAAAGTGAAAACGAGTATATATAGTACGCCATGTTTTTTAATAAGAAAGGAGAAATTTAAAAAAAATGGAAAAGTGAAACCAGAAAATAATGAAATTGATCACCTAGGGCAGGGAGACACAAAGGGTGGAAAGGATGAGGGAGAGAGGACACATCTCTGAGAACACCTTTCTGCATAGTTGATTTGTGGAAGTATGCTATTCTAAAGACAGAGCTAGGAAAAAAAAAATCTAAACAGCATGCAGGCAGAAACAAATGAACTCAATTCTATTTCCAATGAATAACATATCCATACTGAAGCTTTTTAACACAATAATGTAAACACTTAGGGAAGATTACAAACAGATCTTCAGCTCCTTTTAAAAGTGGGCTTGTGGCCGGCCGAGTGGCTCAGTTGGTTAAGAGCTCGCTCAAGAGTTTGAGCTCTGAGCAACAGCGGTTCGAGTCCAGCCCGAGCTGAGCAGCCGCTGAGCTGCCAACAGGTAGCAGGATGGCTCAGCTAAAAAAAAAAAAAAAAGTGGGCTTGTTTTTCCCTAGGGGTATAGGAATAGCAATTCTGAAACTTTGCAGGTGTACTGTAGAATTAAAGTGAGGAAAGAGGTTGATGTTCCCGGGAGTCAGGGTTCTTATGGGAGAAGAAGGTGACATTAATATGGAGTGGGGGAATGCAAAGAACTTTGTGGGGCTGGGTTGGAATTGGAGGTATCAGTATGAATTCATGACTTACACACACACATTTATGTATATAGAATTTTTTTTTTCTTAGCTCTGTCTCCTGAAAGGGCCTAGAAGCAATGAGCACACATGGTGCCCCAATCTTGGTTTATAAATACCTTCCTCTACTAAAGAGAACCAGGGTTCTTTGGAGGGATGAGTAATTCCAGGTCTGGGGCAGGGAAAGTACAAAAGGAGCCAAAAAGTTTAAAAAAGAAAGAAAGAAAGAAAAAAAAAAGAAAAAGGAAAAGGAAAGATAAAGATGTGTCAAAATAACACAAGAGCCAGCATGAAAAGATTTCCACAGGAAATAGCTGGGACAAGTTTGCACATAAAACTAGCTAAGGACAGTATATTACAATCCACATGGAAAATAAATAAATAAGGGTAGGGTCTTCCTTAGGCAAGAATGCAAACTGATAATTGTGGAGGGAGTGGAGGAGTTTAGAGGAAAAAATATCACCATTTTGCAGCCATCATAGTAAAGAGTGGTTTGAAAAAGAATCACAATGGATGCTATATGGGAGGTGAGAGTTTGATGAGGAGCAGAAGGTTTGCATTGTCTTAAAGTGTCTCCCCAAAGACTGCTTATTCATTGTAAGGGAAAACATGATAATTATACAGTAGAGAAATCTTGAAACCATACAATGGAGACATCTTGATCAAAATTAACATCACCAATGAGGTGCAAATGGACATCATGTGCCTTCAGATGTGATTACCTGAGAAGAACACAACATTACTTCTGTAGTGTCTTGGCCAGGAATGCATAATCTGAAGCTAATCTACAGGAAACTTCAGACAAATCCAACATTATTGGGACAATTGACAAAATTGGAATGTGGCCTATAGGTGAGAAAAAATTACTGTACCAGTGCTAACGTTCCTGATTTTTGATAACTGTATTTTGGTTATACTAATAAATAAAAGCTGAAGTATTAAAAAGTAAAAAAGAATAACGTATGCCATCTACTCCTAAATGGTTCAGCAAAAAGATTTTAAATTATATGTATCCACGTTCACACACACAAATAGAATTATAAAGCAAATGTGGCAAAATGTAAAAAAATTAGTGAATCTAAAGGACATACCAGAGTTCTTTATTATTATTGCAACTTTTCAGCAAATTTGAAATTATTTCAGAATAAAGTTAGCAGAAGAAAAAAAGGATCACCTATTTACAAGTTTCATACAATAGTGAGACTCTCTCTCCAAAATAACAATTAGATTCAGAGTTAAAGGCAAATTAAATCTGAATACCTGTTGACAGATGGTCCTCAGTACATATCTAGCATATTCTCTTAAATTGGCAGTTTCTATGGAAATGCTTTTCCCACAGGATTTTGAATTTTGTGAGGCAGTCCAGATATCATCAGCATTCCCATCATGTCGTAAACCCCTCATGGTGAAGTCATCATTCTTTAAAGAGCTGACATTGTTATTGCCAATTTTGGCATCTCCTAAATAACAAAATCACAAAAGCAAAATCATACAAGTTCAAAATATTGCCAAATATTTGAGAAGTAAATAAAGTACATTTTCAGGGGTTTATAGGATGTGAGTGGAATCATTACTGCGTGGCCAGTTGTCCAGCAATAGTGAAAATGGATCAATGGATCAAGAGAATAAATGAGAGAACCTAGAGAAGTTTCATCAGACATGGGGAAAATAAGCAATTTCAAGACTCAATCCTCATTTTGTTGACAGAATTAAGTATGCTTTCACCAAACTTGAAAAGGCCATTAAGAATCACACTGAATAATCATAGAACATTGATTTCACCAATATTTCAAGCACGAATGTATTCAAATTCATTTGACTTATAGACAAGGAAAAAATGGGTTACTCACCCTTCTAGATGTCCCTTTTCCATTTCTTCTCTTACAATGACTTATTTTTCTATCCATAGGTCAAGAGAAAAGTTTTGCCTTAGCCCACCTTACTATCAACTTCTTGACAAGAGAGATTTATTTCCCTGGGGATGGAAAAGGGCAACGCATACTAAGGAGGCCCTGGAAAACAGGGCGTTCATTGAATAACCTGTGTCTTTCACTTTCCTCTCTGCAAACATCCACATTAGAAAATTTCACCTAATCAAACTCTAATAGACTCAAGTGAAATGAAGCTAAGGAAAGTGATTTCCTCATAACGAAGCCCGGGGAAAAAATGAGCAGAACAGTTGAGTATCTAGAAATAAGAAATCTTCTCTAGCCATGAAAGAAAAGTTAACTGTCAGTTTAAAGGGGAAAGAATAAAATAATTTGGTAATAAAGATTGCCAAAAAACAACAGAGCCTCCAAATTTTTGCCTGTTTACCCACAGGATCGTAAGCCTTGAGTGGGAAAATTTCCTGGAACTAAAGAACGGGCTTAGAGAAGGCCCTGCCTGCCTCAGCGTGGGCAAAACCAAGCCGAGGTCAGTGCAAAAAGCCTTTTAAAACCCACAGTTCAAGCAAGAAAAAGTTTTGACTCTGTTGAAAAATTTTGAGAAATCTGAATGGCTTGCTGAATATTTACTTATAAAATCATTAAGAGGAGGGGAGGAATAAACAGGACATTTCAACGCATCAGTATCTTAGTATATAGCATCATACATTTTTTTCATTAAAATACACATATAAAAAGTGCCAATTTCGATCCCAGTCGGGACCCCCTCTCATTTCGAGAGCTGTAACTTTCTGCTCTAATAAAACTATCCTCTGCTATAAACTTTAAAACAAACAAACAAAAAGTGCCGATTTCACTTTACCCACAGGAGTTTATTTAATTCAACAGAGTTCTTCAGAAGCTGAAAGAAAGACCAAGTTCTACATGTATCAAAGTTTAGCATGCTTTCTCCAACCTTTGGTAATATAAGCCACTATTTTTATACTTTAATTTAAACTAGTAGAGAAATTAGAGACCAAATTCTATAAAAGTCTTATCTTCCTAACTTAAAACAGATCCTGGTGGATAGGACTTGAGAACCCATGGTTTAGGACATGCTGAGGTAGCTAAATTCAAACTTCTACAAAAACAAAAACAAAGAAATAAAGACCTCTGCTAGTCCCAGACTAGGAGATCCTCAGTCGGGTTAGATTTTAGGATGACAGGGGTCTTGAAGGCTGTGCCAGAACCTTCTGCAATCATATAGACGATAGAACAAATAGTATTCAGTGACTGCCTCGTCCAAGGTTCTGCTGACATTCAGCTGGCCTGAGACTGTTTTCTCAGACCTGAAGAACCCTCCAATGCTTAGAAAGTGTTGGTATAATCTACCAAGAACTGAGGCCAGTTAAAAAGGTCAAGGAGAGGCAATCAAAGAAAAACGAAGTGGTAATTAATTATGCATGGATATTAAACTATGGTTATCTGGATATTTAAAGAGGTTGGCAAATTTTACTTGAGATCGAACCAGTCCTCCAAATCCAATGGACAATGTCTGCATTGCGCTCATCATGGTTTCTGCCGTGAAAACGCCTATCACTTATATAGTCACACTTCCAATGTTAATTTACTGAAAACTTCCTATTTAGTTTCTCTGGTGGACATCAGAGATGCCACAGTAAGATAGTAAGTCCCTGACTTCATGGTCTCCACATTTATTAAGTAGACTTGACCAGTCATCTTTCCTTTCAAACATCATCAGAGTAGAGCAATGTTACGTACTGAAACGACCATTCAATGTAGGCTGTATGAAACCACACACTCCTAAGTTCAGAGGAAGGCTGCAGCCCTCCATGTGACCCTACCTTTCCCTTTTTACTATAATATTTGTCAGCATTTACTAGTAATATTGCATATATGCATATATATGTATATTTGTGTGTGTGCGCGTGTGTGTGTGTGTGTGTGTCTTAGGTGAACTTTTTAATAATTTGTTTTATGTCAACCTGCTTTTCCTTCCTATTGTCACCAAATAACATTTCTCAAGTAAGAGTATAAAGGGACAGGGTTCATTCTCAAACATGTTCTTTAAGACTTATTTAAAACAATTTGTATCCACTCAGTAATTTCTGTTCTTATCAAAGGAGGTTCCTTTAGAACATTAAGAGATAACTCTTGGTTAGCCAAGGCCAAAAGAGGGTACTGGAAGTTGGAATTAGACAGTGTGAATTAATGGCTTCCCAATTATTCAAATCCTAACTGATTTATAGATAAAAATGTCTAAGGTATAGCATTGAAACAAACAAACAAAACCAGAAAAGGCAGTAGTACTACTACTCCAGTAGAATATGTACCAAAAAGGATATAAAAAATATCTGGGACATTATAAATTTTAAAAATTATGGTATCTAATATTGATTTATCAGTAATATCAATATCATTACAATTATCACCTGATTCGTGAAAACACTGAAGTAGGACATAAACTTGTTCACGGTCACAATGGAAGCAGAAACACTAAGATTAAAACCCAGGTTTTGTTGTGTTTTACTCCTGAAATACAGTATGAAATTTAACCCTTTGGTTAGATCACACAGTCATCTGTGTCCATCACCAAGTGTGCCTTTATGCCAACAAACAAAGGCAAAACAACCTAGTGGGTCTGAGGATCCATATTACATTAGGTTCAGACCACCTGAAGTTAAAATGCCACCCAAAAAAGTGTATGTTTAAATTCCCTGAGTTGTAGGAAAGAGACAGATTCCTCAGAGTCCAAATGAACTTGAACTTGGGGGAAAGCCAACTACCCTTTCCAGGAGCACAAACAAATAATAATAATAATAATAACAACAACAACAATAATAATATATATAGAGAGAGAGACAGAGATATAGATATATAGATATAGATATATTTGTAATAATAGTAAATAGAGTTAAACCTGAATACAAATTATCTTGCTTCCATTTCTGGTGACTGACTGAGCTCAGTGCCAGCATAGTCTTACCAAGCATCATAATTGCTTTTAAAACAGCAAACACCGCTCCCACTTCGATGCTGTTGTGAGCAGCAGCTAAGAGGTGTCTATCACAGGACGATCTGATTCCGGGGCAGGGTTTGCCTGTGAGAATAGCAACAAGCCTTTAATTGTCCAGTCACCATCATTAACAATCTCCCGTAACCATTTACAATCAGCAGGTCCTTTCATTGTTGGGCTGTGGGCGCTTAATTGCCATTAGCTAACTTTAATTGAGGCTTCATGGATTCACTGAGAAACACTGCCAGTATTCCTTACTTAACCTTTGCTTTTTAATTATTAAAACAATGTCTTTGTTCCTTATAGAGATGTGCCAAAAAAAAAAAAAAGTAGGATTTTCATCTACTTAATGCTGATTGTCTCACACACACCCACACACACCCCTACAGGGAAATGATCTTTAAGGAACCGACTTCACTAACACCCCCGGATTTCTGACCGTATTCTTTTAACCTTAGGAAAAGAATAAGTGAATCACCACTGCGCTAAGCTGCTATGTATGGTGTGGCTCATAACCATCATGCAGTTGTGAAAGGGTCACGCTGCCCACCCAGCATGGCTTGGCCTAAGAGCAAAAGTATTTTTATGGTTCATTAACTCTGGATTTGAGTGTGTCCACACATCCCGATGTTACATAAATGAAAGGTGCTGACAGCCCTCTGAAGGCGTTATCGCACTCCTTCATCACCCCGAGGTGAGCCCACCAAAACCAGGAAGGAAATCACAGACTGGACGGCCTACTCGGTTGTGTTAGAACCCACGGCTCCAAACGGAAGCACCGTCAGAGATTCGTCAGCTCACCAGTCGCTTGAGGTAACAGGCAGGCCTGGGGAGCTCGGAAAAGGTGGAGAAGGAGTCGGCAGGTCATCCTCGCCCCGGGCTCAGCATCGGCATCTCCACAAGCTAGGGAAGGAGGATTGGGAGAGCAGGTTCTAACAAAGTCAAGGGCACGTCCTCAGGTTTTTCATTAAGCTACATTTTCTGGGATCATTCACATCAATGCTCCTTATGGTAAAAAGGAAGGTCCTGGCTGTGCTTTTTGGAGACACCGAGTGCAAGTGCTTCCTCAAAAGCAGGTACTAAACATAGTAGTTTCCAGCCTTTTCCATGGGGAGCCATAATACTTTGGATAGAACAATACTTACAAGTCTCCCATCTTTACCATGATGCCACACCCCTGTCCAGCGCATGTACCTTTAAATACTACCTCACTGTGCTTCATTAGTTAAAAACCGGCCCACCAAGATAACGGTCAAATAACAAATGCCGGCCGGGCTGCTGCCTTACCTGCTGCTAGGAGAGAGGGGAGTGCCACGTGCTGCACGACGTCCTCCAGGGAAAAACACTGTCGTGCTATCAGAATAGCAATGAAAGTAGCTAATGAATCATGGAATGAAAGGTCACTCACCTTCAAGAAAAACATTGACATGTTTTAATACCTAACACCCTCTTAAGTAATATCTAAGATTAACATCTAAGAGAATGTAGGCAACACCAATAAGATCTCAAATCCCAGAATGAACCAACAGAGTGAAATGGTAACTGATCGTGACTGCTTTCCTCTACGCCTATTTCTCCTTATAAGAAAAGAATGAGGTTTACCCCCATCCCGATGCTGTAAGAAGATACTGAGCTCTATCTTGAATACGTGCAATTGAAAAAGAAAAAAAAAAAAAACATAAAACCAAAATCAAGAAATCCCTAAAAGATGTAGCAGAATTAAAACTTTTTTGCAGAATTCGGTATTATCTGCTTCTTAGGAAGCAAAGAAAAACAAGCGTTAGTAATGTTTTGGAGTTCTTTGCAGGGATACAAAAATAACATGTCTTTAATATAGTTAAATTAGTTTTAAAAACAACTCTGAAAATTTACAATTGACTCCTAAATTTAAAAAAGAGAGAAACAAGGAGGGAAGTTAATTCATTCACAGTGAAACCTCTCTACCTTTACAGACCTCACAAGACTTTGGCAGAAAATAATAATTAAAAACAGCTATAATAGCAGCCTTCATATTAAGTTGTAGTATACTCGGATGCCAGTGACTGCAGTTAGCAATCTACAAAGATCACTTCATTTAAAAGCACATACCATGAGGCTCATACTATTATTAATTTTAATTTTATAGATGAGGTAAAGTATAACAAAAACAACCAAGAGTTGAAAGAACAATGTTGAAAATAAAAATCTGGGTCTTTCCTGTCTGGAAGAGCAGGCCACACATAGAAGTTTTATGTATAAAATCTTAGGTGTTCCTAGAATGGGAGTAGGATTGTCCACCCAGTCTTGAGATATCAAAAGTGGGAGGTAAACCTCCAACTGGGAGGTAGTTTTTAAAATGTGTACAATTCTTCTATGTGTAAGATATATTAACATACAACATGGATTACTACAAGAAGTGATAGTCCAAAATAGATAAAGAATCAAGATGAATTTTTAAGAAATTCACATAACATGGATGCAATATGGTATTCATGGAAATCAGTGACTTATAATGGGTATCTCTTCACCACTTCCAGGCACAATCACTAAGAAATACTGACGCCCCAATGAATCGAAGCCTGCGCATTCTTACGCAATACAACAGAACCTGTATTCTTCGAGTGCAACCTTGATCTTAAAAAAACAAAGGTGCTCTCTTCAGAACATAAACTGCTTTAGCTAAATTGTGTCCTGTTCCATGGAGAACCCAAGGCACTTCATAAAAACTATAAACAAACAGCTCTGAAGAGACCGTCAGTTAAAACAAATTTCAGCTAACGAACAAGGGAACTCTTGGCATCTCTGCTGTAGAGTAAGCTGTCTATTTTATTTCAATTTTTTTTTCCATTTACTTAATCCTTAGCAACCATACTCTGGTTTTTTTATCTGGTTTTTCTCTGGAGAACGAAAAAACATAACATGTCAGTCAAGGGTTGAGTCAATTAAAAAAAAGTTACTTGCTAACTAAATACTTAATTGCTCGGTTTAGTTTTTAAGTGAAAAAGAAAACTTACATCCACAGTGCAAAGTACATCATTAAAGCCCCACACGTGATTCGAAGAACAACAAAGAGCCTTCAGAACTCCCAGCCACTCTGAACTGAGAACAGTGCAGCAAGCTGTCAGCTCGGAGGAGAAATTGGCTATGTCATTAATCCTAGGAAGAAGGAAAAAGAATACAGGTAGTAGAAAGCAGCAAAAGAAAGATACTCACATGGAATATATTTAATGAACACATACTTCACTATCATCAAACCAGCCATTTATTTATTATATTCAAGGATATAATAAATACCCACTTGTCAAATAACCTACTAGAATCTGGACCAGAAGATAAAAGTAAATGGCTTCAAATGTTTTCTAATATTTAATGCTGTTGAGCAACAAACAGTAATCAGTACCGGTGTCAATTATCGTATTTTTAGTTCTGTGAACAAATCCGACCTATCCATTTACATTTTTAAGGGCATCAAAATATTAAACTAACTGTAATTTAGGTAGGGCTAAATACAGTGTTTTCAAAAGATAGGTATTTTCTTTTTGTATTTTTATGATGTATGTTATTGTCTCTCAGTACAGGAAATCATGGTACAAAGCAGAGGTAAATTCAGGAAGACTATGAAAAAAAGAATTAAAAAGCAAACATCCAAATATCAGCCTAGGCAATGGCTGAAGGGCTAACTTCAGAGCAGCTGTGCAGTTACTCGTGAACTCCAGGGTGCCTCGCTCACCTCCCAGCGTCCTGGTGGCCCATACAGACATTCATGAGTGTATTGCAGACGAAGCTGTATCGGTTGGCGGCGTTGTCGCTGAGGATCTTGCCCAGCATGGAGTAGTTGATGCTCCGGGCTGAAGGATTCTCAATGAAATCCATCATGAAGTCCGGATCCCATCGCAAGTTAGAGTTTGCAGGCATCACATTATTATATATGGTTTGCTTAACTTTTGAACAGGCACTACTGGGGTTACAAGAAGAGTTGAAAAAAAAAAGGAAAACAAAAACTAAAATAACTAGACAGTAATTTCATTTAAGGACAGATTAAATGGCAGCAACTGTAATTAAATGTATTCCTAGAGAAGATTCATTCGATGAGCTCTTTTGTCCAACTCCATAATAATTGGCATTGGGCACAGTGCCTGATGTAATATTGCTCAAGAAATAGTTGCTGAATGGGTTGGGGAACAAAACAAGGATGAGACATTTGGTTACTAATCTGAAATCATTTTCTAAATCTTTTCCACATTCTACATGCTCCCCAAATAAAAGAATTTATTAAGGCTTCCCACAACTGTCTCCTAACAGTAGTTGGAAATGTTATTACTTAAGAAAAATAGATGAGATCAGGAGGCTGGCTGAGTGGCTCATTTGGTTAAGAGCACGAGCTCTGAGCAACAGGGTCGCCGGTTTGATTCCCACATGGGCCAGTGAGCTGCGCCCAAGCTGAGCTGCAGCTGAGCTGCCAACAGGTGGCAGGATGACTCAGTTGGTGAGAGCATGTGCTCCTAACAACAAGGCTGCCTGTTCGATGGTGGGCTATGCCTGCCAGCAACTAAGACTGAACTCGGCACCTTGAGCTGAGCGGCCACGAGCTGCCATCGGGTGACCAGATGGCAACTGGAATTGGGAGCTGAGCTAGCTGCACCCTCCACAACTAAGATTGAAGGACAACAACTTGGTTGTTCCCCTTCCCCAATTCCCCAACACTGTTCCCCTTCCCCAATAAGATCTTTATTAAAAAATTAGATGAGATTACACAGCAGGAATAATTTGGTGTTTCAGTCCTAATTATACATCCTGCAACACTATTCCTCTAGGTATAGTGTGTCCGGGGGAGGTCCATGTGCCAGACCACTTTGGGTACTGAGGTACAGCTGTGAACAAAAGGGGCACACTCTCTGACTGCAAGGAGCTTACATTCCAGTAGGGGGTATGGATACTACACAAATTCAATGAGGGGGAAGAAACTATTGTTTCATCCCTAAAACTTCATCATGTTCTGTTTTGTATTGGTATTAACAGATTTTTAAGAGGCTGCTCTATCAGATGACAACAGTTCCTAGTCAGTGAGTTACAGTTGAATCAGACATAGACTATGGAAGCATATAAAGGGAATCAGCAAGTAGCCCCTCCAATCCAGCTCTGCAGGTGGGGCTGACAGATGATCTCATTTCAAGTTCAGATTCCATATACACTCAGCTACTCCTGCCTACTTGCTGTGGACAAGCTCATAAGCAGCATTCACCTTCTCTAATCAAGAGCTCTTTTACGCAGCAGTAAGTCTGCTTTTAGATTAAGATTTTGGCAGCCAATTTATTTGTGATGGTGACATAGGGCTTCCCCGCCCCATCCCCCCCAACCTCCCAGTCTTGTGCACCTACAAAAACAGTAGCCAGGAATGAGTTCTTTAAAAATGAAAAGGCATATAAATAAGATTGTTGGCCCTAAACTGTTGCCATTGCCAACTGCCTTAAGAAAACAGATTGTTCAATGTTTACCAAAACGTGGCTTCAGACCTCCTCCTCTAGTATCACCTCTAGGGTGTTTGTTAAAAGTAAAAGACTCCTGGGCCTCACCATAGGTTTACTGAAGCTGTATGTTTCAAAGCTGTCCCAGGTAAATCTAAGTGCCAAATAATGCTTGGGAAGCAATGGTCCAACAGAGGGGACTAAAGCTACCCACGAAACGGCAGTCATTATAACCTTTCACATTATCTTTCTTTGCAGATAACTCATGTAAAAACTCCTCAGGGATCACTGAAGGATACAAGTTTGTAATCTGGAGTCATGGCCTGTTCAAAAGTATGGAAATGATAAGAGTTCCCAGTGCTTTTAAAACCTCCCATTTTCCTGTCATAACTCTTACCACACTTTCTACTCAACTTTTCATTCATCCTCACTTAGCAATAGTTCTTAGTTTGTTTCATTTTCCCACTAAAAATGAAACAGAAATAAACCTTGATTTTTGCTGGGTCCCTCCCTAACACTATAGCTGGCTTCCTCCACCTCCCCATACACTGAGTGTTGAGTGACACAGGCTTCTACAGACAGTAAGGCATTATCTCTTTTTTATTCAACTTCCCACTTAATTCTAACCATCTATTCATGCCTGTCTTTAGAAATGAAAAGAATTCTGCTTTTCTTTCTTAATTCTCCTAAGATTCAGCCCCTACTTTTCTATCAGGATAAAGACTTCTCTCAAGAGGACTCTCCTACCTCCAGCCCGGAATGCATAATTGTTTGGGACTCTATGGCTCACAGCAAATTCTCCTCAACCCTCATTTCTAGGCTTCCTGTTTCATTAATTATACTCTTTCCAGGGGAGCGTCTATGTTTGGGTAAAAAATTAGCTGCCACCTAGGGCACTCTCTAATTCTTAGCACTTTGTTGCAGGCATATGTGGAATTAAGGAAATAACTCGGGCCTTTTCCTTCTGAGACTGTATGTATCAGAGTAATGAAAGCATCACACACCTGGAGGCCAAAATGACTTAAATGTTCAAATCTAAGTTTCTTCATTTATGAACTTATTAATGCAATGAGGCACAATCATCTATTGATAGGAAAAATGATTTCTACTTCCATGGGTTGTTGGAAGGATTAAAGAGCCTGATGGGAATAACCCCACATAGTGCTTGACAGACCGATGTGATATGATTAGTGCTATAGGTCCCACAAATATGCCTCTTCCACAGCTTTTAGTTGATGTTTCAGATCCAATTATTCAAATTACCCAGCTTTTGTTTGGCCATTTTTCTTAATCCTAAACTACAAATAATGTCTGCAAGGTTTCCCAAGAGAGCTGCATCTCTCTTCCACTTCTTTAACTGAGGAAACTGTAGACAGTGTCACCTCTGTGATGCACCACATTGCTGACCCTAAGCGGCCCCTCAGTTCATTCATTGTTGGTCTCCTAATTTCCACACATCCAATGGACATTACTTGAATTAACCCATTTAACATACTTGTGCTACCCTGTAGGAGCATAATGGGTGAAATAGGCTATTGGGGCTTTCTTGGGAAGTTCACTGTTAAAAACAGGGCTGTTGCAAGAATCCAATCGTGTATGAGAAAGCTCTCTAAAAACTGTAAACTGAAACTGAAAGCTCTCTAAAGAAATAGCAGAATACAGGGTATTATTACAATTGCATCATTTCTGTGGAAAGATGCCTCCTAACATTTACTCAAACGTTCCAGATTTTGAACCTAATTTATTTCATAAAGACATACTTTGACATTTTTTCCCTATTAATAGAAATTATCATGCTATTTTTGTATATATCTTTTATCCACAGCCTTTTGGCAATGCCTACTATAAGCCAGACACTCTTCAAGGTACTGGGATATAGCAGTGAAGAAAATAGAGTTTCTGCTTTGGTGAAACTTACACGCTAGGAATGAGCCAGATCATAAATAACTATATAATGTACCTGGGGTTAGTAAATGCTAAGGCTCAGAGAATGACAGAGTCGGGGGAGAGGGGTGCTATTTAAAATAGGGAGGGAGAGCTGTGAATGAACTGTGGAAGTGAGCATGCAAGGAACTGGAGAAAAACCTAACAAGAGAGCTAATAGTAATAGCCAGTGCAAAAGCCCCAAGGTGGGTGCTTAGGGTGACTGAAGGCCAGTAAGGAGGTCCATGTGGTTAGAATGAAATGAACAGAGGGAAAGAGATGGAAGAGAATATCGGATTCAATAGATTGTAAAGGCTAGGGAAGCTCTTTGATTTTATTCTGAGTAGATGAGACGCCATTAAAAAACTTCAGGCTATTCTTGTTTTAAAGGGATGACTTTAGTAGATATGTTGAAAATATGCTCAAGAGAGTCAAGGGGGCAAGCAAGGAAACCAGTTAGAAGGACTCTGCACTTGGCAATGGTCTAACCAGAGATGACCACAGTAGTAGAGCAATGAAGAGTGGTCAGATTCTAGATGTACCTGGAAGGTAGAGCTCACAGGATTTACAAACAAACTGGATAAGATATGAGAGAGCAAAGAAAAGTGTAATTGATCATGCTTTCCTTACCTCCTTCTAGATTCTAAAATTATTTTGCCAGCTATTATTTTCTCCTACCATCAATAATCTAAATTTCCTCAAAATAACATGAAATAAATATGTATTTTCCAGCACCTGTCTACCTGTGGGGGTAACAAGTGTTAAGATGAAGAAAATGACAGGGAGTCAGGGATGCTGTTTGAAACAGGATCATCAAGGTACCAAACAGCAAAGGAAGTGAGAAAGTGCCAACAGAGGGGAAACAATATTCCAAGTGAGGTAATAGCAAGTGTAAAATATAGAGTATTTTGTCGTACGTGTATCTCAAAATTGCAATCATAGCTAAACATGCATAGCAATTTGTAATAGGAGGTTATAGCTATAATAAAAGGCAGCTTACTATGAATTCTGACATATATAGTTATGAATAACTTTCATTATTAAGAAGGATGACAATACCGGTTGAGTCACACAAATAAAGGCATAATCCTACTCCTTTTCTTTTGATTTTTCCTACCCACCTGAAGAGGTCTCCAAATTTACTTCTGAGGTGACTACATGACACGTAGAGATCATAGAGGTAGGCTAAGATGCATCTTTCGGGAGAAGAACATTCTGAGGGGTTCACAACATGCTTCACCACACCACACAACCTGAGGAGAAAACCATGTGAAGAAATCAGGTGCATATTTTGCTAATGTATATGTTATTGTTTGAATCTTTTAGAGTGAAAATATGTCCATTTATTATTTGGGCAAGAAAAACAATATCAGAGTGTTGACACCAATGATTATATAATTGAACAATTATATAATTTACTCAACTAGTAAATAATTGACTAAAATATGAGTTTCCTATTTTGATATTGAAATATTAGATTTTTTTAAAACTTCAGAAATGCCATTAACAACTAAAAACAACAAACTTCTCCATATAGAACGTATATATAGAGGAATCCATCAATTAAGTTGCTATGACTAGAATACAAAAGGAAAGGTGAAGTAGAGAATCTCTCTTCAGTAAAAAGATTCACAAATTCAATGACTTTTCAAAGATTCTCAAATCCAGTCCTTTGTAAAGGAGTAATTCTTCTAATCAGTAAATCTGGGAAATCCATTTTCAAGACCATAAGCAGTTATTTCTGGCATGAACCGGATGAATTCATGGTTTGAGGTCACATTTCCCTTGTTTATCCAAAGGAGAAAAAATTTATTTTATTGTATCTGATATAAGAATTTAGTGACATTCTCTGTAAGTCTTTTAGCTCAGAAGTACCATTACTGCTCGAATCTTTCATTTTCCCCAAATCAGAACTATGGCCTCTTTGGTCATACATAGTTCGTATAACACAGAAGTAAACAAGAGTGGTCCATCCACCTATCTGTGAATCCGATTCTATGTTGTATTCTGTTCTAGGGGTCAGCCTGCAATAGCTGGACTGTTATTAAAGTCAAAGCGGGCTTTAGAAATTATCTGATTTCACCTTCCTCATTTTATAAGGAGGGCTCTAAGGCTCAGAAAGGTGAAGTAATTTGCCCATTGGCAAAGAACAAGTCCAAGTGGAGCGCTTGGGCCTCCATACTCCTGGTCCAGAGCTCACTCCACTATTCAGGGAACAGGGAAGTCAGAGGGAGCCTAGGATGTCAAGGCCATGAAGGAATCACAAATCGCAAACACCAGAGGTGGAACTCAGGACACGATGGGAGGAAATAGTAACAGGCATCCCAAAACCTGTGAGCTGACATCAGCAGATGGGGCCACCAGGCAGTTGATAAAAGCTGTCAATTACAGCAAAAGTGTCACACAATTAAGAAAAAAATTTTCAATCAGTTGTTAACTATGTAAAGCAAAAAAATTCCAGAAATACCTGAAAAGCAAAGAATTATTTTCTGATTAAAAGACATAAACATCTATTGAGAGTTTGCTAGGTACCCATTGTAGAGCAGTCAGTGTTTCCTCAATTTTTTCACTTGCTACAGTAAGAAAAACATTTCACATTGAGATCCAGTAAACTCATTCGCATAAGTATAAAAAAACCAAAATAATAGTTTTGGGTAAAATACTTATCCTTACTATGTACGACAAAGTAAAAACATAGTTAATATCAAGTATGATTTAAGAACATTTAATAGAACATAAATTTTAAATGTCAAAATAAATGATATTGAAATAAATTTCAAAATAATAAACAAAAATATCCTTGTCAAACCTATTATAGTCATGCTATGACCAACTAGTGGGTTTCCATACTCAGTTTAAAAAGGATGGTATAAATTAAACAGCATAAATGAACTCTTAGTTCAAACGGCTTTTAGCAATTTGGTAGATTTATTAGCTACTTGATGTTGGGTGCATAACTTCAAGCACTTCATTCAGCAGGCCTGAGCTACAGCTTCTTGACTTGTAAAATGGTATTAATTATTCAACCTTACAGGGTAGCTGAGGGTTATTAAGTACTTCTCTATTTCCTGAATTCTAGCATTAATTTTATCACATTTAAAAACGGCTGGTATATTTCAGATTTCACTTCATAATTTATGTGTAAAATTAATGTGGTAGCATTTCCTTTCCCTCCAAAAGCTGCTGTTAAATGGATGCCCCTCTAGAATGGAGTATAAATTGATGATATCGTGGACTAGATTACAAAACACAGAGTACTCTGGAACCAAAGAAATCCATGTTTCTTTTGAGCCGAGGAGGAAAATGGAAGAACAGGTTGTCTTTTTTTTTTACTTTTATTAGCATTTATTTGATGCTGAATTTACTCTGGGCCATTTAAGTTTTTGTTTTTTTCAGTTTCTTCTGAGATATCTTTTTCTTCTGTGCAAACGCCTCTTCTGGTTTAGGAACAATCTGCCCTTTTTCAGTTAGGATCATCTCAGTGTGGCAGGGAGAGCTCATGTATGAGTTAATCCACCCGCGAGCTCTGTATAAGTTCTGTACCCACCGTCTTGGGAGCTTTGTTCACCTGGCTGTGCTCAGTGACCAGAGAATCTACATCTAAACCCTTAAGGTCAACATTATTCTCTGCATTTTTGAGCGTGTGCAGTAAAAACAGCACTCTTTTTGGGCCACCGACCCTGCGTCCAGCTCCACTGTTTGGCCTGGGCACACCTCCCAACTCCTCCATTGTAGCGACGGAATGGCACACACTGCTTCCATAATGTGACATCCTTTACATACTTGGTGGCTTTTCAGATACACATACCCTTGGTGGCCTTGCGCAGTTTTACGAGTGTTCTCAAAGTGAACGCAAAGATTTGAACCTCGTGATTTGCAGGATTTTGTGGGGTTCTCTGGGCCAAGTGAATAGTGAACCATGTCTAGAGGTCACCTCAGGCTGCTTACGGGAAGAAGCACGTTGTCTTTCCTTATAAAAGACCTGGAGAAAGGAGTTTGCAGTAGACAAAAACGAGCTCAGTATAGGGTTTCTGAGAGGTCATTATACTTCTCAGGCCCCTGTAGCCTCAGCCTCTAATGGGGATGATAGTTAATTATTTAGACCAACTGCAGTAATGGAAGGAGAGAAAACCTTAGCCTACAATTTACACAAACCAAAAACCGACTAAGAATCGAGAAAATCGCTTGTGCTAGATTAAGTCTTATTGAAAGGGAGCTTCAATTTACTTTAAAATGAAATTAAAGAAGTCAATCTCTAAGATGAAAATGCATGCAAAGCTTATTTGTGTTGGAGTCTCCAAATACAAACTGAAATTACATGAACAAAGTTGTCACATATTCACCTCAGAATAACCCATGATGCTGGGTGGCACAGATGGCAGCTGGCTTATATTGGTAGAAGTCAGGGGAAGGGAAGTACGGCAGAAAGGAAAAGAGGAAGGGAGGAAAGAATCATACTTTATTAAAAATAACATTTTTCATGCTTATAACGCCTTCTTTGATAAGTGTTTTCTTGCAAAAATATTCTTTACGTTCTGTCTTTTCATTGAAATAAATATCAATACTATTTTTCTCTTAAAACTACAATAATATTTCATCATAAATTATACACTCTCGGATGTGAAAAACGATAATGACATGATATATACCGACCCTTCAAACACCTGGGCTGTCTGATCAGGGTTCAGGATCAGACAGCTATGGTACCGCCTGAGAACAGCCACGATGCAGACACACAGACCCGTTGTGTAACTTCCTGCCAGGCTGGAGGATTTCAGGAGCAGCTCGGCTTCTACCACACTCAGCTCATTTAGTAGCTACAAAGAGAGAAAAGACTGAATGAAAAGGCAGCTGCCAAAACAAATAGGAAAACAGTTATTTTAAAAAATGAGTCATTCTAATACTACTTGATCTTGCCCCTTATCCTGAACCAGGACCATAAACATATACGACGACAGTCTCAGAAAACACACCCCAGTGAATTACACTGGTTTTTACTTTTAATCCTTTACCAAATTAGAGTTTTCCTTCTGTCTAGACATCATGGTATATACAATCATAAAGTATCCAATACTAAAACAGTTAACATTTTATGGAGGGTCAAAGCTCTGATTATTTCAGAGAAGAACATACCACCTCATTGCCCCCACTCATTTCTCTTCTTTTGAATAAAACATAAGTTATTTATCATTAGTTTCTTGTTACTAACAAAGCTAACACCTCCAACAGAGTAAGCAACAGAATCCAACTTGTATTTCAATTTACAACAACAACATGACATAATCAATGAACTCAAGTATATGTATAAGAAATATACCAGGACTAATCAAATTATAAGATCTTATTTTTTTGCTCTTACCCTAAAATATACTCTGTTATAAACAGCAAATAAACTTTCACCTTTCCCTAAGCAAAATTACAAAAAACAAAAAACAAAACCAAACAAAAAAAATCCCCAAACCATAAAAAGCTCACATTTTTAAAATGACTATTATATATTTTAGGACTGAATTATAATTACTTAGTGGAAAACTATGAACACAGTTGCAATTAAAATGCTAGTTGAACATGGTTGATTCAGAATGTCTCAATTATTAAAAAATGCACAGGTAGTTCATTTTAAATTGTATGATGCCTGGTGGGTTTGCTTTCCAAAGAAAGAGAGAAGTAGAGTCTCTTTGACACCTGTATTGCGAAGTCAATTAGTCCATTGATGTTCAGCGCTGGCTCCATGAGGTCAAAGATAAGCTGAATATGGTGAGCCAAAGGGAGGTGATAGGACGTCCCTGACGCAAAGCTAGTGATTTGTTCCAGTACATTGTTGGAGATCTGTGCAAACAAAAGTGAAAATAAGTATAAGACCAATGTTCCAAATAATTATTAAAATATTTTAAGTTTTAAGGAAGAAATTTGAATTTATATGTGATTCTATTTAGAAGACAGTTAAAACATATTTCTACAGAAACCAAAACCATGTACAAATCAACTTCCTTACTACAACTATAATTTGAAGAAATAATCCAAGTTGTCATCAAGATCTAGACATAAATATCCGAAAGGTAGAACTCCAAATATTAATTAATTTCCAGGTAACATCTATCTGATATCAATAGATTTGTAAAACGAACATATTGGTTTCATCTCAATTGTATAGTATTTTATTTCAATCATCAACAGATTTCTCCCTTATCAATAGCAATGTAAGACCATAATGTAACAATGTAAGTATTGCATTAAGGATTATTTTATATAGTATTGATTATTACCAAAAGGTAAAAATATTTTCATGATAAAAATTAATTCTTCTGAGGAAGGCAACCTGAGACTTAAAAACATATTTAAAAACCAACTAAGGCCACAAACATATATTGCATAAAACATTTTAAAGGAAATATGAATCTCTCAAATGCATAATGAAACAGCTTTGAATGACTGACTACCTGAGATGTCACTTGATGCTGATCAAAATATGAAAGGAGTTGAAGTTTTGTGAACACCGTCTCCAATGTTGGAAATGCTTCCTGTTTGTTCTTCCTAGCTTTTTGTCCTTCATCTCCAACTAAATAAACATGAAGTAGATACATTATTCTCCATTTAATAGAAGCTTTAACTTTAGTGTTCTTGTTTTTCTTGAAGTATAGCATACATATGAGAAAGTGCACAAACTATGAATTTCTACAAAATACACATACTCATGTAACAAAACTCAAACCACACCATCACACACCAGAATCCCAGAACCTCCCTCAGGATCCCTTCAGTTACTCTCCCTCCCCAGAGGACCAAGATCATGACTTGTAACAGCTTGGATTGGTATTGCCCACCTTGAAACTTTACATAAAGGGAACCAAACGATATACAAACTGTATACATTTAACATCTGGCATCTTTCACTCAACATTATGCTTCTGAGCAATTTTAATTTGTTCTAAAAATTAATAATTCTCACTCATGTACAGTATTTCAATATGTGACAATAGCACTATTTATTCATCCAATAGAATGAGTAGTTTCTAGATTTCAGCTGTTGTGAGAAGGGCCTCTATGAACATGTCTAACTAACTTTTAAAATAGGATGACCTCAACAAGGAAGGGGGTGGGAATCACCCAGGCTCACTCTGACATAACAGGAAACTTGACTGGCATTTTCTTAGGAGACTCACTAAGATATTTCCCCCAAACAGTTTAATATGTAAAAAAGGAAATTTACACAATTCCTAACTTTTTTAGGAGTAGAATGGAATTAAATCCTTCCACATTAATGGAAAAGTGCTACACTTATCAATTTAGCATACCGAAGTTTGAAGAAAATTCCAATAAAATTTTTTTTATAAATACTGCTATCCCAGAGGGACTCTTGTTCTTAAGAGTTGAAGGATAATATTCAAAAATAATTAGATCATGTTTTTAACTATTTCTTAATGCATGTATTTACAAAGACATATCTAAAGACAAAAAGAAAAGGTTAGATTATATGATCTCTAAGGTCATTTCCAACACAATGATTCTCAGTAGTCAAAGACCACTCACATCTTATTGGAAAAGTTTAGTTTTAGAGAACAAAGGTCACTTGACACATTTCTCTATTAAAGACACAAGAAGGATTTCACTGAACCCAAAAAGATTTTGTGAATGGCAAATGTAATGGCTTGAAAAAAATAGCATTAGAAGAAAGGATATTTCTCTTTCAGGAATAAACAATTACAGTTTAAGCCCCTCACTGCCTGACCCCCCCCCCCCAAAAAAAAAAAACCCAGGCCGTTTTTGTCCTAATTTCCTAAAACAAACAAACAAACAAACCCTAATATTAGAGTAAATCAGAACTAAAAGGTGCTGAAAACATAAGGTACAAAACTGTGCCACTTTTATCAACACCAACCATAACACAAAGAGCAAGAACTAATAAGTTCATCAAACCTACTTGTTTTTCGATATGTATTCTCAAAGTTACAAATTAAGTGTGGAACTATGCCTTCAATGTAGCTGCTCACATGTCATGAGCATGTTCAAAATATCCAAGTTTTGACTTTTTCACTTACTAACATGATTGATCCAAATCTGAAAGCTCACATCAACAGTTGGGTATTATGTGTTTTAAAACTGAAGTTAACATAATTAGTTAGTCCTTCCGGTGACCCAAACAAAACAGAACAAAAACAGCGGGCATGAGGAAGTAGACCCAGCATGAGAATTTGTAAATGCATCTTTTTGGTTTGTTTATGGGAATTGCCTTTACTTATTTACATACAGCTAACTACTTAAAGTCTCGTATTAAAAAGATGCAATTAGTTCTTGGCAATTTATATTCAATTTCAAAGAAAAAAATATAAAAAATTAGTGGTGGTTCTCAATGGGATACTTTATTTTAATGATATTTACATGACTGATAATATCATCAAAATGCATAGATTTTCCTCATCAGCCTAATTTCATTTGTTTTCATCATATATATTATTGTTCTTCAGTTGCTTAATTTTGGTTTTCTTTTTTCAAAAATCTTTACATTCTAGAAGTTGTGGCCTTTTAGAGAGCGTTATGGTAAACTTCATTAATGTTTTCAAAAGACGTGCCATTGAAAACCAAAGATGGCTAGAGTCAAGGTAAACATAAAGTGAGGTCTGACCATGTTCAACTGGAAATATCATACAAGCTTTAGATGGTAAATTCTCCTAGGTGAGGCCTGGCTGATCTGAGAATGCTCCTAATGAGTTCCCCCAAATCGTATTTTTCTGTGTAGCCAGAAATCAAATACATGCTTACACGAGTTCTGTCTTCCTGCCTCACCAATTCTCATCATTGCTGAAAACAGTAGGCAAATTTCCATTCATCTGAAGTACTGTTAGCTAGCATCTGGTGAGCATGCTAGGTTTTAAGCAGTGATAAACATACACCATTTATCAGAAGACAGCTCACTACGTCTCAAGTTAATACATTTCTGATTGAATTTTATCTAAAATGAGGGCAAAACAAAAATTCCCTTTGAAGATGCCTCTTCAAGGCGTTTCTATTATTACTGTCTCAAAAAGCAGCATGGAACCACAATGATTTTCTCTTTGTGAGTTCATAAGCAAGAACTGCCTATTTCAGAGACTGATACAAAGATAGCACAGACTACAGTCTGGCATTAAAAACCTCTGAGAAGGAAGGAAGCAGACACAACAGAAAAGGATACCACATTGCTTCCTTCCCCTTCGCACCCCTCTCAGTTTTCCAAAACCCAAAATTCCATAGGATCTAGAAAGACTCTTCATGATTAATTTAGATTTTTAAAATGTATTACTGCGCCTTCTATAGGAGATAGTATTCACCCATTTTCAAATATACAAAAAGTAGTTTCAAATATTCTTCGCTAGCTAGTTGCAGGGCTTCTGAATTGAACCCATTTCCTCTTTTTCTTGAAAAGAGAAAAGGAGAAAATGACAGATCAACAGTTTTTCTTAGAGCACTTTGTTCTTTCCAAGCTCAGTAATGACAGGGCTATAACAATAGGGTTTCATTTCCCTTGCACAGCTCTACTCCCTCAGGGAGACTTTGTAGTACAAGGTCCTTAACTGACAATGGAGGAGGGGGAGAGTTAGGGAATGTGATGCAAATCACATGAAGGTAACTTTCTTGTTGTGTTCCAAGGACTAACCTTGGACCTCAGATGCCCTCAATGTCACATTCAGAGTGAAAAACGTGTTGCCTGTGTACCTTGTCTCTGCCTGTGTGCTCCTCCTGATGGAGAGGAAAGAGCTATTTCTATTTACATTAGATGTATCTGTACTTTGTTGCAGGAAAGAACTAGCATGGACAGACTCTAGTTGTTCATCTGTTTGAAGTCTAAAGACAGGGTCCCCCATGGAGAACTTCATAAAGAAGTATTTATTTTGTACTGAACAACAAAGTAGGGTTCCTAGAGGTGGTTCACACCATGTGTAGGAAGTGTGTGGTTTGCACAGGGAAAATTCAAATTTCTTTCCCCCCTTTGTATTTAAGTAATAGAGAAATGAACATCACTGATGGTAGTGGAGTATATATAATGATATCATATTTTAAATCATATGACTACCTAGTAAAATAAACAAATCTTGAAAAGAGTAATTAGGCAAATGTGAAGTGGATAATTACAAAATTTCAATTATGAAACGAGGTGATATAAGATAAAGGCATAGCTTCCCTGTAAAAACTATGTAAAAAGCCAAGGGAAAGAGGATTCCAAGTAAAGAAGGCATTACAGAACAGGGAACCACATTCCATTTTTATTTGAAATCATTTGGTGATATGAGTAGCCCACCCCAACCTTCTGAATAACGTTTAAGATCAGCAGCTACACTTCCTGATTTTTTATTATGACACCAATATGAGCACCCAGAGCAAACTACAAACTTGAAAAGGAAGGGAAAGAGTTGGGGAAACTTCCAGAGTAAGAGTTTTCCAATTCATTCTTCAGTACTTCATTTGTGACTATTGTAGAAAATTTGGGAAGTACAAAAAAGAGAAGAAAATAAAAATGACCTCTATCTATCTATAGAACATGCGACTTTAGTGTAAGGATTACTATAAATGGAACAAAGACCGTAACATCTCAATGTGCTTATTCATATTTCAATGGGACAGTCACTGAGGAGAGGAAACACTGGGGACGGTGCCATGCACCAAGCTGATAAAGTCTGTGCTAAGAGAGAGTGCAGCGGACGGCACAATGGGAGAGAACGCGTTCCGGCTCTTTACCCCCTGTCTCTGTGGTGCTCTTCTTATTTAGGATTTTCAAAATATCTTTGGTAATCTTCTTCAGTTGATGCCTCGCTTCATCACGCTCTTTGCCCACTCCGTACAGAAGGATTGTGCGCTGGTTACATTCATGACTTGAAGATTCATCCTGCAAAACAGAAAATGCACGTTGAAACCCTTGTTGGCAGGGGTGGGGCTGCATTTCATGTCCATGGAATGCACTAACCACAGCCTCTCCATGCTGGCTTGCAGTGGTGGCGCCCTGCCCACAGCTCAATTCACCTCAACTCCACTGGCAACACCCATGTTTTTCCAGTTTGGGACTTGCTAAAGTTTAAAAAAAAAAAAAAAAAAAGTCAACTGACCTGAAGTCTTAATAGAAGCAGTTGATGTGGGCGTACCCTACGAAGTAAGTTTTGACTATTGAAAAACTTTTCATTGTTTAAAATTTAGCATGGTGTTAATTTCCCATCATACTATCTTGTTGTACTTTTCCCTAAAGAGAAATATTATTTCTTAGTAAGTTTGTTTTTCTATATACAGCATCATTAACTTTTTCACAGTCATAAAAAAGATCTTGCTAGGATCCTCAAGGACTTTTGTAAAATTGTTCCGTTTCCTTCCAACATAACTGTGCAAGATACATGTATGTTTATTTCCAAATGACAAACATGTAGAGTGCAGATCTCATGAGCTGTGAGGTAAACAGCTGGAAATGCTAACATGTTCTGACACCACCTCCTCTTTTGGTCCAGCTCCTCAGCCCTGCCCACAGACACGGTGAACTCAAGCACTATTTCTCCCACATGGGAAAGGAAAATATTTAGTAACAGGGGGGAAAAAAAAGGTACAGGTCACTAAACACATTCCTTAGCCAAAGTCCAGGATGTGTTCTCTCTTGCATCTGGTTTTGCATTTTTCTATCTAAATTTCTTTCTTGGGTCTTATTCTCTTCCATTTTCTTAGGAGACTTCCCAGCTCTGTCCTTCAGTCCATCTTCTTTTCTTACTGTTTGGCCATGTGAGGTGCTTACCCTTCCTAACAGTATCTAATCCTAAGGAGCTTACATGAGAAAATAATATCTCCCAGGAAACACAGACTATAATGTGTTCATAATTAGCAGTGGCCACCAAAGAGCAAAATCCTTCAGATGTGGAGAATTCCAGTGTTTCATTTGGAGCCGTCCACGTGTGTACTCGGCACGAAGTAGCATTTTGCTTTTGTAGGCTTGAAATGTTTCTGTCCCTTTCCTCTCAATCTCTTTTTGTTGTTTTGTCTTTTTCTCTCTCACACACTTGCATTCAAGGTACCACTTCTCCCTGCACTGGTTCCTTTTTTTATTATATTCTAACTAGAAATTTGTGTGCTCTTCCAATCTATCATGCTACCCCATCCCCAAATTATTATTGTTTCAGGTGTTCAAATATTCTCCTTAAAAGAAAAAGGCTAGGAGTCAATCTATTCTAGAAGCTGTTGTTATTTAACGTATCCTGAGTATCCAAATCTCCCCCAAATTTTCCAAAGACACACTTTAACCACAGGATTAAGTAATCATAGGTAGTGATTCCTACACCTGGCTGCACATCTGAATCACCTGAGTTGCTTGTTAATCTCCCATTTTCGTTGTTGTTACACAGCATTATTGATATGTTTCTTTAATGGCTGGTGGGATATGCACCTATGAACCCTACGAGAGGGCACTGAGAAAATCGTTCAAAACTCAGGCAGTGTCGGTCACGTGCGCTGGTAATGGTTTTCAGTTAAGGCACCTGTGGTCAAATGATTCTAATGTAAACTGTGAGGGGTGATGGAAGGATGTAAGCAGTTATTCAAAACCTGTTTATAAAGTATCTACTTACAGCAAGACAAGGTGCTAGAGACCCTGAGAACAATTCAAGGATGATAGTTCCTTGTCCTCAAGGAGTGCAGATTCAGTAAAAGTGGCATTTGCAGAGCTAGACACCCAAACAGGGATGGCAAGGGAAGGTGTCCTGCAAATACCCACATGCTCATCAAACACATGAGAGACGGTGGCTCCACACTGTACCCCAAACAGCCCCAGCTCAGAGTAAGAGAGCTGTGACTGTATTCAGGTCCAGCTTCATGGTCTTGGATATGAGCCTTTCTGAGCCTCAGATTCTTCCCTGAAAAATGGGGTAACACCACTTGCCTTATTAAGGTTTTTGTGAGAATAACTGAGATGAAGAATGTAAAAATTTAGCAGCACTCCCTGCCACCCACTCATATTTTTGCACTTGTACTTCTCTCGAGCACGCATCTCATATTCACATGGTACCACATTACTCAACATTTCTCAAAGATGCTGGGCACTTCCTTCCTTTGCTACGCTCCTCCCACCACCCAAAATACCCCCAAATAGCCTCAGCCTCACTTGTGGAAATGCTATCTACAATTACAACCTCAGGCCCCTCACTCTGTCACCTCAGTTTAGTGAAAACCCTCACCACAAGAGGAACAGGGAGGGGAAGAGACACTTTGGAGCACTTAACCACAGTGTAATTCACTCATTTTCTAGGCATTTCTTTAATGTCTGAAATCCCATTTGACTGTCAATTGTGTGAGGTGAAACCCCACGTCTGTTGTATTCACATTTCTATTCTCCTTAATTGGCACTGACTAGGTACTTAACATTTGTTGAATACATGAAATAATAAATAAGTGGACTGATGAAAAAACACATGACTGAAAGATCAGAGCAGGGATGAAGAACAAAAAGCAGTTTTGTAGGAAACTTAGCCTGATAGTTCAGTGCTAAAAAACTGAAAAGGAGACATGAGAGGTAGAGAGAAAAAGCAAAAAAGTGTGTGAGGTGTAGCTAGGCCTTAGTAGTGGGAATTAAAAAGTAAGAGGCAAAATCAAGTGGTATCTGAAGGAATTTAGGAAAGGATTAGATATCTCATTGGATTTCAAGATGGATTCACTAGACAAACTATGCTGTGGGGAAAAAGTAGGTAATAAGGGCAAGGAGCTCATGAATTCACCTTCAGGTGAGAGAAATCTGAGGGGTAGGTAGAAATGGTTTAGATTATTTAGTAGGTGGTTTGACATGGGGACTAATGCAGAGGTGACAGCTTAGGGATAAGAGCAACATGTCACTGGGAGGGGTGCAAAACCCCCATGTTCTCTGCGGGCGGGGGAGATGACAAAGAGGCCTGAGACAGTGAAGGGGATAAATGAGCCATCAAACGATACACATGCACTCTCCATAATTAATAAGAGCACCAGATACATCGGGCTTACAGGAGTCGGGGAGGAGAAACTGAACAATGGGGACCACCAACAATCTCAAATGCAGTGAAGAAATCACAATAGATGTGGCCTCTCTGACTTGTTTATTAAGAAAAACCATGTGTGAACCTAAAAAGAGAAGTTTCTCTAGAGTGGTGGGGCAGAAGTAGGAAACACAGCTGAAGTAAGAGTAGATGGTGAAATGGTAACGGTAGAGGAAGCAACCCACATTTACTAGAAGCTGGGCATGGAGAACAATAGCTTGAGAGCAAAGAGAAAAGTTGTATTAGGATAATCAATGGCAAGCTCTTGATTCAAAGCTATGTTTCAAATAAAGTCTCTATAAAGGAAATCCAGATTGAAAGGCAGGTAACTGGTAAAGGAGATAGACAACAACAGCCTCTTGTCTGGGTTAACTTGGCAAGAAATACAGGCACACCTTTCAATTAACCACAGGGAAAAAAGAAAATTGGTGAAAAACACAGGGAAATTTGTAGGTGAAAAGCCTGTATCAGTTCATGGGCCCTGATATGCTTAGGGAGCGGGGCCAGAAGAAAAGTCATGAGTTGAGAGTTGAGAGTGAGGGGTGGGAATTAGAAACCATGAGCAGCAAGCAGTTAGATGGAAAAGAACCATCGGTCAGCCTCTATGGCGTGTGAATGCCATACTTGCTTCAGATGGCTAATATTTTTAGGAAAATCATGATAGCAGTCACTAGTCTTCAAACAGAAAGGCGAAGTCTTTTAAAAACGACTGTTTTTCAATAGCCCACAAGATGGGTTTCTGTGAATTTCTTGTACATGTAGAAAATGTACAAGTTTTCAAATAGCAATTTATACTACATGAGAATAAAGGCAACCTGAGAAAATGGACCAAATATTTCCAAAGGTACCAATAGCTCTACTCTTTCAACTAGGTATTCAAATGCCCTCAAATTGCATAATTATAAGTAACATTAATGATTGGCGATCCGTACTGAAGAAGTACTCACTATTTATTCCCTAAAGGACATTTATTGGGCAGCAGAAGGCATCAACTGGGGAATCCAGGGAAGTCTAGCCATCGCTTTCACGACAGCCCACCTCCGTCTCTGAGTTGAACAGCTCATCTTCCCTGTAAACTGAGTTCTGAAAATCTCATCCTCCAGGTCAATTACTTTCTTTCTCCAGATACTACATCACAAAGACTTAACTGATAAGGAACTAGAAGGACGCATGTCCAAAAACCCTGGAAGGCCTCTTACATACAGAAATCAAAACATGTCTCTTGAGCCACAAATCCTTAGAAGGAAGAATTGAAGTTAACTGAATTGAAGTCTATTTTAAGTCATGTTCATTTCTTTAAAATAAGTGGTTAGAAACATTGCCAAAATGCGTGTGTGTTCACAAAGACACAACAATGGTGGTGAGATTATCAGAGCTATGTACTCTCCTTATTCATATTTTCTGATATTTGTACAGTGACCCAATAACCATAGGACTTTAAAATTAATGTTAATGTTCTTTTTAAAGGGAAATACAAATCCCACTCTAAATGTGCTTCCTTTTCTTCCAAGCACTAATGGAAACCAGATGAAGTCGATGCAATTGTCCCGATAAAAACAAAATATAGCATTTCAGACCTCCCCAACGCACTTTAATTTTGTATGTTTAAATGTGCAAAGGCAAACCCAGTAAACATCATAAAGTAAACTGCAAACAGCAACCTACCTCATCTACCTCATCCTACCTCATCATGAAAAGTAGTAAAAAACACTTTTTAAAAACAATGAATTTATTGACAAAATTTTTATTTTCGCTAACTCATTAAAATGAAGGACTCTTAAAAGAAGCCTTCAAACATTATTTCTTTTAGCTGAATTCTTCAATATACCACATTATTCGGTTTAGAAGAAAATAACTTCAAATAAGTGTTACACTGGCCATAAGCCTTGGACCGGGATGGGAGAACGGATGTGCAGATGTATAGGGAGCTGGGTTACAGGAACAAGAGAGTAGCAGCTCCTTCTCAGTCGTAACTCTACCGGAACTGCAGTAAATTTTTCAAGAAATCAAGAAAATAGCAGACTCCTTTAATTTGATTTGTATAGGAAATTCTTGTTCTACAATAGCTTATACTCCAGAGTATTGCTGAAATGGAGCCTTTATCCGATAAACTCAGGGCATCCTAGGAGCATAACGGGGTTTAACCAGATATACTAGTCCTCTGCTTTCAAGCAAAAATAGTCACAACAAGGATGACAAACAGTAGAGCAGAGGAAGCTGGTATTCTCTTTTAGTAAACATCCCAGTGCCCAAGTCTCCTTACTTCTGGGATTTGTCTTATATCTAACCTAAATTTCTATACTCTAACAGGTAAAGCCAAGCTGGATGACATAAGCAACACCTGACTTAAAATGCATGTGTTCCATCAAAACATTCACTAATGTGAAAATGACCACATTTTGAAACCATAAAATTTTAGAACTACAACAGCCTAGGAGCTCCATCCTCCTGCCCCGCCTGGTTCCACAGGGACTATATGGTCCTACCATTCAGGACATGGCCCTCTGGGCAGAGAGGAATCTCATTCAAAGTTAACATTTCAGATAAGCAGATAACCTTTAACAGACTTGACAAAATAAATACACCAATTAAACCACGTGCATGTAAAAATACTGGGGATTAAGTATATTTTTCTAAGTCATCTCAATCATAGAAAATCAATAACCAAATCAACCAAAGCTAGTTCTCTTCTCAGTAGTACTATATATAATTACAAATTGCATGTGTTGTTTATTGAGAGGACAAAATGCACAACTTGCTCTACATTTATTCGTATGATAATATATACTTTTGTAACCTGACACAAATCTCACTTAAAAGATTTTAGTCACTTTCAGGGTCCAGTGGTCTAAATGGGTAATTGGCAGTGATTCGTTGGAGATGATTCACAGATAGGCATGGTTATGAGTTAAAACCAGAGAAAAGAAAAAGTTAATGCAGATCAAGGGCTGGGGCCTTTCCTTTCCCCTTCATATCCCCTATTCATAGCCCTCTAGGAGTCTGGAAATACAAATTCTTGATAATGCATATAATTTAAGTATCCAGAATCAGTGTTCCTTTAGTATAACACATTAATTTGTTGAAAATAGTAATGATTTTTTTTCACAAGTCTTGTTTCAATTGAAGGACTTGGAAACACTTTATAAACAAACTCTAGAGTTTACAATTTGTTGTAAAGGCAAGGGTGACTCCTGTTTTCTTGAAAGAAGTGCCTCCATTCCATTCATGGCGTTCACCTTTCACTCCTCAGCCCCAGGGTGGGGTGGGGTTGTGGAGACAGTGCCATGGGGAAGGTTTGCAGGTTACAAGGATAAGAAAAGCAGCCTCTGGGGTCAGATGGCAAGGGCTGGGAACTGATCGCTTCTCCAATTAATTCACTGCTCTGCTCCTCAGCTTCCCTTATCCAGAGAATGGAAACAATGTGAATATCTACTTCAGAAAGTAGCTGAGATGGTAAAACAAGTTAATTCATGATAATAAGAACTCAAACATTGCCCATTATTATTCTGAAGTACATGGAGCATGAAAGCTCTGTCAAAGTATAATTCTGTGTCTCCAAATAATTTAAGATTATCACTGCAATAGTCAAATTTTAAAATAGAAATAACTTAATACCCACTTTTCCAAGAGTTTTATATCAAACTTACACCTCTGATTGACTAACAGATTAGGAAATTATGTAACTGAAATTCCCAAATGAAATGGCTCAAGTTCATAGCTTGATTTTAAATTCTAAATGCCCACAAAACTCTTGTGTCAATTTACATCAGTGGCACTCAAACTTTAATGTGCGTGAGCATCACCTGGAAGGCTCATTGAAATACACGTGCGGGTTCACCCCAGAGTTTCTGTCTCACTGGGGCTACGTTTGGTGCCCAAGAACGTGCATTTCTCACGACTTCTCAGTGAAGCCTCACTGATGTTCTGCACTTTGAGAACCATTGTTGAAGATTAACAAATGCAGAGACAGACATATGCAAAACACAGAAGAAAGAAATAACCAAAACATGTGTTCACAGCAAAGGCATCTATCTACCCAATGTTTCTACTGGTAACAGAAGATTAGTTTAAAAAATTGTGCGTGTGTGTGCACGCGCTTGCACACCCACATGCCCACAATAATATTTATATCCAAGTAATAGTGACATGAGTATCCCTTAACTTAAAGATTTATTTTCCCCAAACTAAAAGCTAGGTTAAAAGAAAAAAATTTGTTTATATGTAAATTCTATTCAAGAAAAGCATGAAAGACATATTATATAATAAGTCAGGCAATGGATACAACTGTTTTTCTTTCTAATGTAATTTTGGAATCTTATCATTTATAATGGGAGGAAACTGTTTCGCCTACAAAGAGTTGATCAAACACAGATTTAAAATAATGACATGATTAGCCAGAAAAAAAACAAAGAGCAAGGGACTTAACATCCCTAACAAGCGCACATTTCGAGTTAATGCAATTATTTGTTAAAATGTAATATATCACCCAAGTTGGGCACAATATGTTTTCAGGTAAATAATTATCTGAGAAAGCAAGCTTGCAACCTTCTCCAGGAAGCACACTTTGAAAATCTTGGATTTATCATTTGCATGGAAAATAACCAAAATAACTCATAAAGCATCAACTCTATGGCAGGTTTCAGTAAAAACCTGCAAGATTTCAAATTGCTTTTTAAAAGATGACTTTTCACACACCCTGCCCCACATTTCTCAAGGAAATAAAAGGAGAAGTGCTACAAGGGACCAGACGGAAATTCAGTGTCTGCAGAGCTTTGAATGCAGAGCATCTGAAGGTAATTCTGATTGTGAAGCCCTCCTTTCCTCTCTCTCGCTCTCTTTCTTTCCAGCACCCACAGGATTTTTACGGATGAAAACTCAGCAAATTATCATAAACAGTTTTAACAACTAAGCTAAGACATCAAAAAAGAAAATACCAGATACCACTCTGCAGGCTGAAGTAACTACCACTTACTGGATGTATTCAAATTCTTCAAGATCAACGGAGTAACCAGGTAAGTTTATATCTAGAAGTATTTGACAAATATAGGTATTTACACTACGATGTATGTGTAAATTTTTTCAAGTCTTCTTAACATTTTTGTTGTGACATTCGGATATGTTTTCCTGTGGCTTGTGCTATGAACAACAAAGATGTTTTGTATGCCATATTGTGCAACATTTTGTAATAAATTTTTTTTATGTCATCAATGCCATTAGATTCTAGTTTAGCTATACCTAAATCTAATTGATGCCACTCAGTATGTTTTGAGTCTTTTTTGCTAAAATTCAATATAATGGTAAATTTATTAACATATAACAAAGGTTTAAAATAAAAGTAATGTCATTTATGTACAAAGCAGTTCAAAATGTTATTAAATGCATAAAACAGTCAAAATATCAACTTTTTATTTTTTGTGGATTTTTGACGAATTTTGAAAAAAAAATCAATTAATGCAGTGAAAGAGTTAAAATTGGAAACCTTTAATAACTATCAATGCAAGCACTTATTTGGAATAAAAATTTAAACATAAGCCACATTAATGGTGTCAGAGATAAACATTAACTTCTTCATTAAAAAAATAATTTATACAGAGCATGGAAATAAAATACAAATGATCTTATTTTACCTCGAATGTGAAATGAGATTTAAGTATAGAGGGAGCTGAAATTCTCAGTATCAAGAATATTTGTTAAGTGGATTATAGTTATAATCTATGCAAAAGGAGCATTCCCAAAATAGAATTTCCAAAACCATCAAAGAATACACAACTAAAAGCAAATAGCAGTAGCAAGGAAAGTAAAAATCAGTGATCTTGTATCATCAAGTAAATACTGGTTTTTGCTTGTTTGTTTGGTTGTTGTAAGTTAAACAGGTGAGGAGGTATTGAAAATTGAATTGTGATAACATGAATCTTAATTGTCTCATTTTCAGTAATTAAAGGATAAAAAAAAATAATTCCATTGACATTTTGGGGACTTTAGTGCTACCTTTGTTCGTCATATTTAAATCTTTCACATGGAAGCCTTTTCAAAAAAATTAAGGTTTTTGTACTTTTAACATTACTGTGTCTTATATTTAGAAATCATATTTTATGTAGAATCAATTCCATTTGTCTTTTATGAAATAAAAAAAATTCAAATTTCACTTTAAATTTCAAAACTTAGATGCCAAATAATGTATTCAAGTGAAGTCTTAGTTTCCATTATAGCCATCGGTTGGGGTATAAGAACCTATGGAACTAGACATGGACGCCGTTTTGATGTTTTATTTTAGCTACCACTATACACCCTCTAACCTTAGAAAGCACGGCCGGCTGTTTTGAGGAATGCCAGCTGATGATCATGTACAGAGGCCATTTCCTTATTTTTTTACTGTTTTAAAATTTGTACTGAATAAGTCAATAAAATGTATGCAAAAACTTCAAATATACTGAGCATAGTTGGAAATGAGATGTACCTGGGTTAAAATATTTGGAGCTCAAGAATGAATCCCGTGCTGATTTTGTGAATGGAGGACAGTAATATAAAGGCAGAAATAGCCTCTAATTATAAGAGAAAATTTCCTTTCTGACTCAGAATTTTATTTAATAATAAATTTCCAACAAGGCTAAGAGGTGGGGGGAGTTAAAATATTTCCAACGAGTGATTTTATACAAATTTCTTTCCACTTTTAAAAATTCTAATAGGCAATTATCAGTCATTTCTCCTTAAAACCCTTTGATGGTACCGGAGTAAATGAAGTCCAGGAATAAGGATGGTGCAGAAAAAGTGACTGTGAATAGAAACAAAAAAGCTAAGAGGAATGGAAATAAGGCTAGAGAAGAACAAAGCACAGCCCAGATATTTCTCTTTTAGTTTTTATATATAAATATGTGTGTGTGCCTAAGATTAAAAATATCCCATAAGAGGCAAATATTCAACAAATGAGAAATACAATCTATCCATACCTCCTCAGACCATTTTAACTTTGCTGGAGATAGAATGTTTGCAATGATAAAATATTCTTGAGATTTAGTTTTCTGTGTTCTTACTAACTGCCATAAGGATCAGAAACCTCCATTTTTAGAGAAGACTGTCCAAAAAAGCCACACCTGGAGCTAAGAGCAAAATCAACTATCTGAGACTGAAAATAACCAACCCCTCCCTTCCTCTCTAGGTAGCAAAGAAGAGACACAAGCCATGGACAACCTGACCTCCGCGGCTGGGAATGGCAGCCTGTGTACCCGAGATTACAAGATCACCCAGGTCCTCTTCCCGCTCCTCTATACGGTCCTGTTTTTCGTTGGACTCATCACGAACAGCCTGGCAATGAGGATTTTCTTTCAAATCCGCAGTAAATCCAACTTTATTATCTTTCTTAAGAACACGGTCATTTCTGATCTTCTCATGATTCTGACTTTTCCGTTCAAAATCCTCAGCGATGCCAAACTGGGAACAGGACCACTGAGAACCTTTGTGTGCCAAGTGACCTCCGTCATTTTTTACTTCACAATGTACATCAGCATTACATTCCTAGGACTGATAACTATCGATCGCTACCAGAAGACCACCAGGCCATTTAAAACATCCAACCCCAACAATCTCTTGGGGGCTAAGATTCTCTCTGTTGTCATCTGGGCATTCATGTTCTTACTCTCTTTGCCTAACATGATTCTGACCAACAGGAGGCCGAGAGATAAGAATGTGAAGAAATGCTCTTTCTTCAAATCACAGTTTGGTCTGGTCTGGCATGAAATAGTCAATTACATCTGTCAAGTCATTTTCTGGATTAATTTTTTAATTGTCATTGTATGCTATACACTCATTACGAAAGAACTATACAGGTCATATGTGAGAACAAGGGGGGCAGGCAAAGTCCCCAAGAAAAAGGTGAACATCAAAGTTTTCATTATCATTGCCGTATTTTTTATCTGTTTTGTTCCCTTCCATTTTGCCCGAATTCCCTACACCCTGAGCCAAACCCGGGATGTCTTTGACTGCTCTGCTGAGAATACCCTGTTCTATGTGAAAGAGAGTACTCTCTGGTTAACTTCCTTAAACGCATGCCTAGATCCATTCATCTATTTTTTCCTTTGCAAGTCCTTCAAAAATTCCTTGATGAGTATGCTGAAGTGCCCCAACCCTGCAACATCACCACCCCATGAAAACAGGAAGAAAGGACACAATGGTGGTGACCCCAGTGAAGAGACTCCAATGTAAACAAACTGAGGTAATACTTCCAGCTGTCTGTGTTTGGGACGCCTAAAAGGAAATCACTATATAAAAATATTAATACTGACTAAGAAGTAGCTGAGTTAGTAACAATGACTCTTGAAGAAATAGACTACAAAGTGATTTTCATTTACTTTGCCAGCATTAAAATGAAGGGGGAAAAAACCTAACATGTAGCTATGTAGCAAAACAAACTGCCTCCAATCACCACGCTACATGCAAAACTACAAAGAATGCATGAATTGTAGAGTTTTAGCAGGATGGCTAACCATATAATATCTAGTGGAATTCTTTAAATACATATTGATCACAGTGTTATTGTCAACTTACTATATAAGCAACTAAGGTTGATAAATCTGATCAAACCTTCTGACCAAAAATTATACTTCTTAAGATGTATATACATCCTAGTTCCCTAACCCAATGCTCATCTATAACGAATGATATTATAAAAATTTAAGTACACACACAGAATAGTAACTACTAACCTTTAATTATTAGCAAAAACCTAAGGAATTTAAACTAAATGGTAATAGACTGGACTGATTTTTTTTTTTACATTTCATTAAGAAGATAGAGGGTTCAAAACTACCTTTCCAATAAAAAGAGTAGAAACAGCAAACAAAATCATTAAAATAAGAAGAGTTTTTTATGGCATTCTATTACAACAACAAAAACAACCCAGAATATTTCCTTAACACTAGAGAAACCAGTTTTACTAATGTTTTGACAACTTTTGTAAATACATCATTTATTAACTAGATTCTAGAAACTACCTGAAGATTTCTCTTAGTGAGAAAAACGAATTAAATATGATTATGCAGTTTCACAGCACAACTATTAACAGGAAAGTAATTGAAATGTTTGGAATTACCTGTTTGTTATATGTGTATATACCAAAAATTTATATTGAACTCTAAATCACACTTTGTTGGAATTTCTTTGTTCAAAGACATTAGATACCATGACTCACCTTTTATACTCTCCTACATTACACATCAAACCTATTTAAGAAACAATAGCTGGCAACAGTGTTTTATATAGTGCTTCATGACACAATATTAGGCAAAGTCTCTTCTGAAGGTGACATCTCACATAAATTAATTCAGATGTAAATGAAAAATTATGTCAGACTTAAAATGTAGTCTGATTCCACCTAAGCCATATTCATTGTTTTTTAATATAAACAAAATATATAACACACTTGCAATTTGACATCATTTATCTCAATTATTTATGATTGATCCTCAGAGGTTGATTCTCAAACAGAAGGCATAGATACCAATATCTCAATATAATGCAAGAAGAAATTAAAAGGGTGAGTTGTAGTATAAGCAAGTTCACTGAACTTCAATAATAGTTGATTTATCCAAACCTTCCACGAGTTCTGCTGAGCTAAATTTCAGTACAGAATTGAACTCATTTAACTTCTAAATGGTATCGATTCCCGAACAGCCACATTCCTTCTGTGGCATTGGTGCAAGCAAGCACTGGATGTCAGCAGAGATGCACACAGAGACATGCGCCCCACAAACATGTGTATTCCAGGTATCACCAGGACAACAGTGGTAGCCATTTCTGCCAAGTCAACTAATGCAACTCACTCTAATGTCATCTGCATAAGTGTGCGTGCTTTGTAAGAATACCGGGATATTTGAGCTGGAAGAGAAATGAGAGCTCAAATAGCTGACCTTTGTATTTTGCATATGGGGAAAGTAAAGGGCAGATCCACTCTTCAACCCACCCAAGTCGGGGTAGAGAGTGGATTAAACTGACGACATCACAGTGCCAGCATCACAGGAGGCACCAGGAGACGGCCAAGTAGACAAAGACTTTCCTGAATAATCTTTCCTTTTGAACTAAACTAATTCACTGAGATCACAATTTCCACAAGAGAATTAAAAGCAAACCAGAAATGCTAATGGTATGATGGTACTTTAGTAAAAAAATTGTGAAGTGTTTGGAATTGCCTATGTTTTTATATATATATTATGAAAAATTTACATTAAACTCTAAATCACACTTTGTTGGAAATTCTTTATTCAAAGACATTAGACATACATACTCCTATGTCAAACATCAACTAAACCCATGCAAGACAGATTGGGAGATCAGTATTGATGGAATGCTCATTATACATAGAACATATCACTATCTCCAGCTTTAAGAATTTTAATATACATAATACATCCCACATTTCACAGTAATTTAAAGAAAAAAAAGTGAAGCCAAATTTTGTAGACTCAGGTCCACAAGTTGAAAAATTCAGAAATGAGACAAAATATAGACTTGCCCAAAGCCTTCATGACTAATGAGTCCAAAGGATGCTGACAATTGGCTTTTTCTCTTAGTGGCTGCTCACAGAAACGTCTAAAGCAGTGAGCAGGTGTGGCAAACCATAGCGTGCAAGCCAGACCTAGCCCGTCCCATGTGTTTGTGCAGCCCAAGACCTAAGAATTGTTTTTACATTGTCAAGTGTTTATGGAGGGAAAAGCAGAAGAAGAGGAAAAGCTCGGGTTGCATTCAAGTGATATGAAATTCAAGTTTCAGCGTTCTTAACAAGGCTTTATTGGAACATAGCCACACCCACTCAGGTTTTACCTAAGGCTGGTTTCCTGCTACAACGACAGGGTGGAGTAGTTGTGTTAGAGGCTACATGGTCACAAAACCTAAATGTTTACTAACTGCACTTTAGGAAAGAAGACTGACAACCCCATGACTAGAACTTTTAAAAACAAGAGAAAGTCCTATGCAGAAAAAGAGTCCTCTCTCCATGCACCTAGGTATTTCAGTAGCTTTGCACTAAAAACAACCGCAGATTCTGGTGAGGGATCAAGGTGATATTCCAAGTGGTACAACAGTGGTGCCAGTGGGAACTAGACATGTGGAAATATACTTACAAGTCAATAAGTAAAGAGAAAGAGCCTGACTTTTTTAATAAATGGGAAAGAGCTTAAAAAATCAATGTCCAGGAGAAATACAAATGGACATAAAAAATATAAAAAATATATATGTCAACAATAAGGAAATAAATTTATACTTAAATGACGTGGCTTTTTTTTTTTTTTAAATCAGGGAACAGTATGTTTTTCCAGGACCCATCAGCTCCAAGTCAAGTAGTTGTTTCCATCTAGTTGTGGAGGGCGCAGCTCCGTGGCCCATGTGGGGATCGAACCAGCAACCTTGGTCTATGAGCACTGCAATCTAACCAAATGAGTTAATCAGCCTCCCTATAACATGACTTTTTTAACCTATAAGTTTAGAATTTAGAAGATTTAGAAGATTTTTAATAACAGTGTTGGAGAATCCCACTCATTGAAACTAAATTGGTACAATCTTTCTGGAAAGCTATTTGAAAATATCATTTAAGATTTCAATGCATAGCTTTTGGTCTAGCATTCCACTTCTAGGAAATTTCCTACAAATACGTTGGAACAGATGCACAAAAATATATGGACATGTATGTGCTCTACGGTACCGTTTTTAACGGGGAAAAAAAAATAATGCCCATCAGTAAAGACTTAACTAAACTATGGTAACTTTATATAATAACCTTTTTAAAAAATTTGGAAAGTCACCATGTACTAACATATAATAAAACAAAGATCCAATATGTTAATAAATGTAAATCTATTTATTTTCACACACATTGGTATGTATATGTAAGGGGGATTAACTATCATTTTCTGCTATATACATGTCTATATTTGAAATCTTTAAACTTATTTTCCCTGTATAATAGCAATACGAAACTGAGTATTCATATAAATGTTTCAGATAATATTATGAATGCATTGACTATTTCTAGTTATATGTAAGAGTTTTCTTTTTTTTTTTTTTT